TCTTCAAATTTGGTTTAATCCCATTGAGAATAGACCTGGATTACATGGATTATAGAGGTTAAAGTGGTAAATATCCAGTAGTGAACATGCTGTATGTACAGGTTATATTTTCTTGTAATTCCTTACAACATTGAGCGGGTCCACATATTTGTTACAATCATTTGTGTAAATATCCTTGTGTTCGCACGTGGTTTTCATTATAGATCATCAGTTTGAATAGATGTCCAAAAACTCACTCCTCGGGCTCAGATCAAGCCAAGACCAATACGTCCCCATTACCGCCTCTCCATTGTTCCCCCAGTTTTCCCACAGAGGCAGTAGGTAGCACACTGTCGAGAAACTACTTAAACTACTGTCTCCACAAAGGCAGCGAACTCTGACCTGCCACTAGGCGTGTGAGCTCAACCAGGAGTCTAGTGTTTTCCTCTCTGAGACCTAAATTCTCATTGAAGAGAGTCTCGCCCTCTGCCAGGACTTACCCAAACTGTACGCAGTCCAGTCAGGGGCTTCTGAGAATGCCCAGAGCTGGCAGGCCACTCTAGCAGAACCACTCTGGAGCAAGAAAGAGACTGTCCTCAACCTAGACCTTAGGTTCCAGAAATCTAGGGTCATTAGGTCCTGACCTGACTTAAGGGAATTTTAAACAGACAACACCTGCTGTTGTATGTGACACCTCAGGAATAGCTGGGCTGAGCTCACCAGGACTGCAAACACGCGATAATCTGTATTGTGATGACAGTATGAAAAAAATAAAATTGACATTAAACTGATATTGACATAAACTCAATTTTTTGTGTACATGTTAAGATATATAGCTATAAAACTAAACATCTAGTAGGATTCTTCAGGGACACTTGCTGGGAAAGGATTCATAGGTATCTAGTTCCTGCCCTGACTGCAGAGACTCTGAAACTGTATTCCCTCTGTTTTCCTAGTTCCTCCCTCAGTGCCTGCGTGCTCAATAACCGGTGAACCTGTGTTAAGGGGAAATATCACTCTGAACTGCAAATCCGAGTCCGGGAAGCCTGTCCCTGTGTACAAGTGGATGAAAACAGCTCCGACCAACGAAGTCTTCTTTTTCCCAGTTCAGAGTAAGTATTTGAGCTGCAGAATTGTTTTAATTAATTAAAAAAAAGTGGGCTGTCAGTATAAAATTGCTTGTGTAGACCACATGCGTGTACCAAAACTATCAACCCCTTATCAACACGATTATTCTTCTCTTGGAAGGTTGTCACAGTAAGTAATCCCTTTCAACATGTTCCACAATCGTTATAGGGTTTGCTGTTAAAGAAGGTTATTCCATTACGGGTGCTTCAAAATCGAAGGTAAGGTTATGCCAATGTTCACAAAATCAGGTCTGTAGCACACGTGTCCTTTTTCTGTCAAAAACACCTGCAAGCAACTGGATGATCTGCTCAGCAGATTGAATCTGGGATTTGGAGCCCAAATGGAGGTCCAGGGATAATTCCAGCCTGCACGTTCCACCTGCCTGCTTCCTTCTCTTTTTTTCTTTCATGCTTTCTGTGTTTCTGTTGGTCTTCTCTCCTGTTGGCTCACAGCGTGGAGGTCCTGCCCTCAGCCCCTGCTTATACTGGGGTACATTGGTAAGGGATCGATGACCCCATCCCCCCCCCCCCCCCAATCGGGTTTCCAACACATTCCTCATCCACACTTCCTCCTGTCTCTCATCCCATCCATCTTGTGCAGTAGACGCGTCTCCTTTAGCCCAGGGGCACCGTTTCAGGAATCACCCGCAAACAGAGCTCTGTTATTTCATTAGACCTGTTATTTCATCAGACATTTGAGTGGCAACAAAACTCCGTACATGAACACAAACTCTTTCTGCCTTTGGTAGAATTTTCTTCCAGATTGTTTGAGGATTTGTGCCCATTACAATAATAGAAGAAAAGTTTGGATCCAATAATATATTGGAATAATAACTTATAATAATAATTTAATAACTCGAAGAAACCTGCTGTAGCCTGTGGCAAAGATTTTGTTGGTGTTTTAGTGGGTTAAAGATTTTAAAATCATCTAGAGTTACATATTCAATTGTGTTTAGAGTGAAAGGCTAGAAAAAATACTTTGTTTTCCATGTTCTCATTCTTTGGTATTCAAGAATTTTCTTTAAAAAAACAATCCAAAAAAAAGCAGGCTTACGAATTGAAATCTTTACCAATTCTAAGTATGATATGATGTTTTAAAGGCTATATATTCTGTGCCTTCAACAATATTTGTCTAACTTTTCCAATGTTTCAGTTTGTATTATGTATCATATCAGATACATATGCACGCCAGTATGAAAATGTGGAAAACAGTGATTTTACATACAGTATGTGTTTTTACTAACACTTTTGTGTTTTTAATATTTGCATCATGGATGTTGCATTTTATCACTGTACTCTTGCTATTACAGCATTCACTCGATGTTCACGTTTGCTATTGTAACTGTGTCCGTGTTTCACCTAATAAAAGGAGGACCTCCTCATAAAATTTAATGATTTAATGGCTGCATGTGATTTTCAACAGCCCTGTATGTATCTGTGCAGGTACTATAGTTTTTTATTGCTGCCCTGTGGGTATCATATGGGCTTATAATCGTTTCCGTTTTTGCTGCACAGAAACAACAATGCAGCGCCAAGCAGGAACGCAAAGTAAAAATGTTCATGTATTAATTGAAGCTTACAATTACTGGGATTGTTTTTCCACTTGAAATGAGGCTCTCTGCAGAGGTGGTCAGGACTGTGTTGTGAACAACAATCATTTCTGTTTGAAGGCAGTGCACAAGGGCAGTGTGAGTTCTTCAGAGCAAGTAGACTTTGCCGTATCCCTTGAACATTTGCGCACATCTGACATCACATCACAGTTAGGCAAAGTCTTGTGCAAGAACTGATGCCAGTCCGTCCCTCAGTCATTCCTGCACTGCCAGTAGGAGCTCAAGGTCACGGCTGAAACTCGGACCTTGGAGAGCTTCCTTCATTATAAGGAGTTATTCTGTTTGTTGGTGATCACAATGGGTCACATTGCACAGGTGTAGTTGTACTCTTGGTTTCATAATGGCGAAAAAATATTTTGTCTGTGGCACCAACAAACTCCTTCACCTCTCTTTTCATTCTCGTTAGGGGAGACATGTGCGCGCCTGTTTGCTTCCATCTCCTAGCAATTCTGGATCCCCACAGGCCTGGCAGAAACCCAGATTGCTGTAGAGGAAGGCCTGTCCTGTACCCTGAGACACACCTACGATGACGGCTGTGTCATTTGTTGCCAGACACCTCCCCTCAATTGCCCGTCCCTCAGTCCTGGCCACACTGTCCTCTGTGGCCATCTCACACTCGCTTTCTGAAACAGTCCACACGTACAGCCCATACTGTGCAGCCATTGCCCAAATCCCACAGCACGGCCCCTTTACTCAGCTTAAACCCGATGGCCCCCTGTTGATGTCCATCGGTGCCCTCTTCTAGTGCGCCAGGCTTCTTTCCTGACATGCCTACTAGCTACACACATGGGGAGACGAGTAAATGACGCACACTTGCCATTTCAGTATCGGCATACAATACGATGGTGTTTTTGCAAGGGTGACTTTTTCAGTCAGGTCTGTGCTTTAGACTGTCGTTTTCAGTCTTTTTGGTGTCTGCCTGTCGTTTCAGATGAGCAGCTGGGCACCCTGAGGCTGAACAACCTGACCATGAACATGACAGGGAAGTACGTGTGCACAGCCAGCAACTCTGCTGGCTCGGAGACCTGCTTCATCAACCTGGAAGTCTCCTCTCGTATGTTGCCTTTGCTTCAGAGATTTCGTTTCTGGTATCACTGTTGCTCTTTGTTTGTTTTCTTCTCGCACTATTGAGATGTATTTTTCGGAAGGTCTGGTATAAAATGTGACCATTATCAATGCAGGGACACAGTATAGACAGTCAAAGAAAAAAAAGTGAATGAAATCATGTGTTACAGGAAATATATTAGAAAAATGGTGGAGAACAACAGGTATAGAAACAGTATAAGCACTCAAATACGAATAAACAAATAAACTAGTGAGAATCGCACACACACGTTTTTGTGATTTCCACTTTGCTTGGTAGACTGTGTTCAGTGGAATGTGTGGGGATGTATTCATCCTTTCCATGCTGGTATAACAATTGTGGGAGTGAATTAAAACATTTAAGAGTTGCCAATTTCAGATTTGGGGGTTCAGAACAAAAAATATTAATTGGTTACGCTCTTTACAAATTTGGCATCTTTGATTTTTTTTTATCATTTACCGACCCAATGTGGAATCGGTTTGGACCTGTAGGCTCTTCTGACTTTCCCACGTGTAAGACCCACGCACTCTGTGACGGTCTGAAGGCTCCACAGTGCCTCACCTCAGGAGAGCTGACGCAGATAAGACTGATTCTCACCAATAGCTCTCACTGATGTCACAGCAAGCCTGCAAGCCTGGCAGGGTTTCAAGAGTACAGTACGTGTTTCATCGAAAACCAAAAGGGCTCTTGTCAACTAACACTCATCCTCAGAGGTGGTATTCTGACAATTCCAGTTAATTTATCGCTGGTCAAGACACTTAGAATTCCCAGATGAGTGAAAGGGTTTGGAGTCATCTTTCCAAACTCAATAATACTGGAACTGAAAGAGGCTCAAGGAGCAGGTTCCATACAGTGCTAACAACTCCTGTCTTACCTTTGTCATGCAGCGATAAACGTAGGGTTGATTGCTGGAGCGACAGTGGGCTGCATTCTGGGCTTTCTGGTCATTGTCCTTTGCCTGGTTTTTATCCTGAAGAGAAAACGTGACTCGGAAGATGATATGGCGAATGAAATCAAGTGAGTGCTGACATAAGGCCACTTGGGCCCCAGACCAGAACGGATATCCATTTAGCTTGTGGTAGGATTTTGTGACCAGGGGTGTAATCCTGTGCCTGAATGTGAATGCGTGTTAAAAAAAAAAGTGTTAAATCCATGAAGAGGCATCAGTCTATAAAACACCTGGATTTTGCGCAGGATGATTAAAGATTCAGACCTAGCACAGGATGTTACCCATCCGTTTTTAAAAAAAGAAATCTTCACAACCTTCTTTTATTTTTAATCCTTCTACTAATTGTCTCAAGATCTATACCATGCTGAAAAGAGAAGAAAGGAAACAATATTTTGGCTGTAGAGGTTTCTTCAGCATTCAATAAGCGTTTTACTTGGTCCTTTGCAGCCTACGCATGCTGACGCAGCTCCCTATTGAACTACTAAAGCTGTATACTGTGTATCAGTTTCAAACAAAGTCATTTATACAGCGTAGTAAGTGTAAATGTAGTACATACTGTACACCTCCATTAGAAGGAAACCAAAAGCTCTGTGGTGCAGTCCTTGTCCAGTTTGTCGATTCACCGGTGTGTCTCCCCACGTTAGGGAGGACGCCCAAGCGCCGAAGCGAGTCTCGTGGGCGAAGAGCGGCACGGGCTCGGACATCATTTCCAAGAACGGCACCCTCTCCTCCATCGCCACCGGCACGCACCCCCGAGACGCCCACCTTATCCATTACCCCCCCAAGCCGGCGTCTGACACCGCCTCCATCGTCACGGCAACTGGCAGCCCCATGAGCTACCGGCCCGACCTCCTGGTGGCCCGCGTGCCGGACGCTTCCGCCCTCCGGGGGCTGCCGGGATACAACAGCGGCCAGTCGCTTTCCAAAGGGCCCGCCACTGCCAGCCGGCCCTCCTCCAACGGCAGCCCCGAGCCCAGGACGGACGGCGCCCAACCCCAGGCGCCGCGGCCCCCGCTCATCGTCACCAGCATGACGACCTCCAATTTGCTCCGGATGGGGGGGGTCCCAGTCATGGTGCCCACGCAGAACCAGGCGGGCTCGCTGGTGTAGCGGCGGGGGGCCTCGGCCAGCAGAGGGCGCCTCTCCTGTCTGTTGTCATTTGTGTTTTTGTATAGACCCGAGGCAGAAAAGGTTTTGAAAATGAAACTCAAAGCTGCGGAGCGAAGGAGAAAAGCCTATTCTTTATTCTGGAACACAAAAATAAATTGCACTTAAAATCGAAAAGGAAAGAAGGCAGTACTTTGGAACAATGTTATATACTGTACTTGCAAGAAGTTTAAGGTTTTTATGTACAAGATTTATATATATATACATTACAGTATCTATTTGTGAAATTATGTCCACCTTTGGTCTTTGCTATTGCTTTATCAGGATAATTTCTGTTCTGGTTTAACCCTCTTCATTACAGAAACCTCTGGAAATTGTGGCAACCGCTGTCTGTCAAACAGAACTGAGCTGTGAATTTTAAAGAAGCCCCCGAAGAGAAACCTGACACAGTGTGTGTTAATTATATATGTGTGTTAATTAATTCTGAATGTAAATGCATGTTAAAAAAAAAACATTACGCCCATGAAGAGGCGGCGATGTATGAAACAAGGCAAGAAATTGTTGAAAATAAACGGTCCATTCCAATGTAACTCACTACATGTAATTTAAAGGTCATGGACAAAAGCAGTTCAGTTCAATTTCAGTTCAGACTGTATTATGCCCTAAGGCAAATCTGTCTTGTGGAGGAGTCCGGCACACCAATACCACAGAAACAACCATCACCAACAAAGAGGTCAGGGCAAACTGGCTTTCAGGAAATAAAATCATTTCACATTGTTTAAAAGTGAAAAGGGGGGATATACAGTTTGCTATTTCTGTTACATCTTGGGGTACAGAGGTGTTGCCCCAAAATTTGCTGGAAATAAAGCAAATCAGCCTTCTAACTTCTTACGTGCTCAGCTCCATGGAGCAGATGTCTACTTTTTCCAGCACATGAGTCGGGAGCTGAAAGAGAATTAAACATTTGCTCTGGCCATGTGGAATTGCCTTGTTCTCTTCCGGGAATTTCACAGTCACTCTAGGCACCGCCTGGATCTCGTACTGGATCTCTGGTACAGACCTCTGCCACTGCTCTTGCACAAAGGGGACCGCAGGGGTTTTCCTCTGTCGTGAGTGCAAGAAATCTACCAGATTGACATCCACATGATGCCTTCCCTCACCTCACCCCTGGATGCACAGCACGAAGTTCATTCAGACTGACTTTCAAGAGCGCTGGTGTCAGGTTTAGGAATATCAGTGGGTTTTCAATCAGAAATATCATGTAACGGGGATCTTTCCCCCATGTTAAAAATACACCGCTTTTTCCTTCTTTGTGAGCTCAGTGATCAGAACAACAGATTTACCGTTTCCTTTTTTTTTTCTTGATATGGCGTTTTACAGAGAGCAGGATTCTGTATCTGATTTTCTAACAGATTCTAAATGATTCTACAATCTAGAAAGGTGTGATTTTCTGCCAGCGCTTACCAAATTGTCCGAACAGGGGTTATTTGGGTACAGTTTCACATTTCAGAATGCTGTTCTGATATTGTTACCACTGCGATACCAAGCTTCGCCCTGTGGGAGGGTTTGGAGAGTGAGCAGCAGATAATTAACAGCTTTTGCACACAGATGTTTTGGCAAGCTGTACTTGGAAGCCCTGCCAATGATGTTGATTCAGCCAGGATAGGAGATGCTTGCTACAAACCCTGAAATAAATGAAATTTGTTTTTTTTATTTCTGCTTCAGTGATGTTTTTCTTCTCTATAAAATTAAATTGCAGCGCATGACTGTTTCATTCTGACAAAAAAGATTGTTCTTTCATACGAGAGTGGAAGCCAAACCAAAGACGTTTTATTTAATGTGTGATCGGTTTATCAACAAATATGTAAATATTGTTCTGGTCACAACAGGCAGAATTTCATCAGTTATATGTATATGTGTGTACTGTATATGCATAACATTTTGTGGAAAACTGACATGACAGCAGGGAAAATAATAGAAATTTACCTGCTCATTGTATGATGATTACAAATTTGCAGTGTTGGCTAATTATTACCTCTTCGTGCTCATGCTTTCATTGAGAGCATTGTTATAAAAAGAAATATCTTATACCCCCAAGCATTTCTTTTGCATAATGTTGCCGTCTGTAAACAATATTGCAGGTTATATAACGTGCAAACATGTATGTACATGGCAAGGAATTTAATTAGAATTTGTAACAACATTTTTAATAAAAAGGCTGCTTCAGGAATTTTGCCTTAAAACGTCTCTTGGTAGTCCTATAATTAAGGTGTTTAGTCACACCAGGAGAACAGCTAATATCGAGAAACTAGCTGTTGGAAGAAGGTGGGGTGAGCTAGTAGATGTATGTGTATTTTCATAAGAGGGGTTGAAAGGTAGTCTGAAAGACTGGTTGTTCTGTATTTAAGACTGCCAGCAGATTGTTTTCATCAGTTAGGTTTAGGGTCTTTCCTTCTTGTCCCAGGTGCAGTTACTGTACATTCTGTATTCCCCTCCCAGTCTTTTATTTAATATCAGGATATCAGGGGCCGCCTACGTGTTTCTGTTTCAGGTAAAGAGCCAGTCGAGAGTGCGGCTTGCTTGTTTAATGAAGGCGAGGTGTGAAATGCTCGTGTCGAGTGTTATCTCGATCACCTCTGAAAAACAGACAGGGAGGAAAGGAAGGAGAGAGTGGACTAGGCAGAATGGCACCTTTCCTCAACCTAATGACTATCTGGATCTTGCCAGTTTATTTTGGTAAGTAATGCCTTGTTTTCCATTTTGTTTTATGTAGCTGATGTCATGCTTGAATGCTGGACAATACAGAAAAGAACATACAATTATGTAACCTATTTGAGATCAAAGTTGTTGCTGATGGACGTTGCTGAGTGACACACTCGGTAAGTCAGTGTAGAATCTGAACACATGGGATCCAATCAGTACTTAACAAAGATGAGAAGATACTGATGCTTGAAAAGTATAGGTGAATAAGTGATTTTCATTAAAAAGAATTACTGAAAAAGATCATTTCAAATTAAAGTGGCAGTACTTACTCATTTTTAGTTGGATACATTAAGCAACAAAGGGGAAGTGATATATGACTGCTCTCAAGTGCAGTTTTAAAATTGTTAAATGTTTGTAAACCTATAGTTTACCACTGGTAAAAGCTGAAAAAAAGAAGTGGCTACAACTTAAATGAAGCATTGCATTGCGCAGTTGCTAAATATAAACGGTCAGGTTTTTAGTGTTATTGAAAAAAATTAGAGTGGCCAACGACTGAGATCGCTAAGAGGTCATCTTGTTCTTTTGATCATTCTGAAAAATACAGACCCATCACACATAATTAAATTATGTCAAAACCAAGTATGCAGTTTGTAAAAGACACTTTGTGTGGGAACAAACAGTTTTAATTGGGTTGCAGTGTATTTAATTTAAACAAAAGAAAACATTAGGTTTGAAAATACTTAGAATTTCTTCAAATTTTACAGTCATAGGATTTAGGCCTAGAGAGACATGTTTGTTATTTTTGTTTTTCTGATATGAGAATTGTTGCATCCTTTTCTGGATTATGACATTTCATACACATTGTAAATGTATATACAAATGTATATACAGTACCAATACAGAAAAGATCACCTAAACCTTACTATTTTGAGTCATTTTTAAACATTGTATTTCTAATTCAACAAATATTTCTATATTAAATCTCCATGTCTGAACAAAAAAAAACATAAAAGAAAAAACTGTGTAAAATATAGTATAAACCTGCTAAAACATTTGCGATGACTGTGTAAAAATGCATTAATTATTGTATTAGTAAAAGTGAGTATAATTCTGTTTTCAAAAAATTATTCATGAAAGTTTGGAACTTAAGGTACTAAAGTTATGTTTTGTGTTCAAAACAATAGATAAAAAACATTCATATATGCACATTAATATTCATATATTAATGTATTAATAATATTTTGTATGTTGTGAGAGGATTTAAATATGAACATTATACGTAATCAAGCTTACAAATAATTTAAGTACACGTGAGAAATAGGTATGTGGATTTAAATATTTTTACTGCTTTAAAGTTATAAGCAATACAGATCGAATTCATCACGAACCTGGGATTGTCAGTGATCATTATCTGATATACAGATTTTTTTTTAAAACGGAATGTCTTTAGAAAATTAGGCATAATGCTTGGGATATTCAGGTCATTCCTATGATTTTATCTATTCTATGTCAGCACTATTTCTGAGAAAACTTCAGACACTCAGCACAGTGGAACTAAGCATTGCCTAAACTTGCTGTAAGTCTAAATGAAAAGGATTAAAACTGTGTGGTCACTATCGTTTAAAAAATAAAAGAAAAACGTACATTCCTTCTAAAAACCGAAACAAACAAACTTTGCCTAAAGAAAGAAGATTTCCTCCGAGTGGGAATTCATTGGGGGGTTTTTTCCCCCCTTTCAAACAGCCAGCAGTTCTGTGGTATTTTAAGCTTTCACACGGGACAGCTTTGTTTTCTTCTCTGCGTGCAGAGGGGGCACTCTCCCGACAGGCCGTTCTTGTGGATAGTCCCATTTACATCAAGATGGGGGACTCCGTCACTCTCCCCTGCAAGTACAGCACCACCCCTGCACGGGGCTTCACTCTGGAGTGGAGGTTCGCTGCTCCGGGATCAGATGCCGTCCAGGCAGAGAGGGTAAGTCTCACAGCCGTCGGGAACAGGGACCCAAGGGGGAGCTGAACGTCCGTGGTCAAAAAGGGAAGAGGGATCCGACAAGCAGGGGCGCGAGAGTGTACGAGCACGTCTTGACAGAGCAGCTGGGAGCAGGGCAGGTTTAAAAGTCAGAAAGAGCGGCTCCTGCAGTTTTCCGGAAGACTTCAGGCCCGCGGTGACATCGGAGAGAGACAGTCCTCCAATGGCCATTGAACTCTCCTGTTGGGCACTGCGGAGCTTTCGGTGTGTGAAAACATACAGTAAATGACCCTGCTGGGGGAACAAATTGGAAGAACATGCCTACTGACCTTCCTTCTGGAAGTGCTGGAGGTGTTGACTGAGATAGCTGTCAACCCCACATTGCGCGCGAAATGTAAAACGGAAATAAATACAGAACTTATAATGTCTCGACTACACAGAGAGATCCCACACGGTGGTGGTAACGTTCGAAGGAGTCTGTGCGGTTCGGCCTGTTCTCCTAGCAGCACGTTTCGCGGAGTTTCCGCCAAATGAAAGAGGTCTCGTCCAGGCGGAAGACGCTTGGCTTTTCCGTTCGCTTAGACAGAGGACACTTGCCAGTTCCAGGGCTTTCCCTCGGCAGGTCTTGTACTTCGACGGGACTCTCTACCAGGTCACTTCCTGGGGCGGCAGGATGCAGCTCCTCCACAGCCCCCCCACCGGTGGGACGGCCTCCATCCGCATCGTGGACATCCGGCCTTCCGACACGGGGCTGTACATCTGTGAGATCACTAACCCCAGCGACTGGTCCGGGAGTGGAACTGGCCTCATCAACCTCACCGTGCTCAGTACGTGTGCTCCTGTGCTGTTTTGTGTGCTGACGCTGCCCTTCGGCGCTGCTCTGGTTTGTGAAATCTCGACCCCCCGAACTACCACTGGTAGGAGCTGGAGGCGGGGGGGTGGTGAGGGGAAGCTTAAAAAAATGCTGTAGATTTTTTATCAAATTGATCAAGTTGTCCCAAATTTGTATCCAAGCTAGTAGACACCTAGAACAAGGCCTACAGGCATTTTGAGGCCAGTGGCAGGCCTAGAAATAGAAATATTTGACCTCTGAAGACCCCAAACGGTTTTTCATTTTTCCATATCTTTGTCTGCTGTGTGGACACATTAAGAGATAAAAGCAATTTGACTGTTCACACCCGAAGCCAAGGGGGTTAGCTTTAATTTCAGACCTGAACCAGGCTTCTACTATGTTCCGCTGCAGAGATTCAACAAAATATTTAAGGGGAGAAAATTCCAGGCTTAAATTTTCTGTAGAGGGTCTGTGACAAGAAGGGTAAATCAATTTTTTCTGACATTTGTTCTCCTTTGTACATTAAAATGAAGAAACCAATGCAGCTCAAAGAGCAAGAGAAAGCATACTCCAAAACAGCATGTTTAAGCAACAGATACTGTAGGTCCCAGCTTTGCATAAGCGGGTGATTTTGGGGGAGTTGGTCTGTGTGGGTGTGGCTGATTGTTTATGGTGAAAGGCAAACATTTATTCTGTTTGCGATAAGGGTACTGCAGGTTTGAACTTTTCAGCTCTTGGTTTTGCACTTAAATAGAATGGCGCCTGTTTCTTAGAGTAGTTTGGAGCAGGGAGGGCAGATCCCTGGGTTGCTCTGGGACATGAATGAAACTGTGCACGCCACGCACCATGATCTGCCATGTAGCCAATGCTTATAAGCGAACGCTTGTTATCATTTGACGTCATTACGACTGCATGGCTCATTACTAAATCGGGCTGCTTTTGTTTGCAGTGCCCCCCTCCACCCCAGTGTGCAAACTGAACGGGAATCCCTCCGTGGGACAAGATATCACTCTCACCTGTAAGGCCACACAGGGCCTCCCACAGCCCATCTACACCTGGACCAAAGAGAAGCTCCAGAGACTTCTGCCGGCCAGCAGTATGGTACAAGGTATGAGACTGTGGAGGCCTTGCCTTGGGACTGCAGCATACTGGGTGTCTCCACCTGATCTTAGCAGATTTCCCAAGCAAAGCAAGGCAGGGCCGTGTCACTCCTCGGGAAAATGGGAGACCTGCAAGGAAATCTAGGTTGCTCCTGCAAATGGGGTTGCTGAGCCACTTGGTGGCGCTCTTCCCACTATTTCTGCAGACCCGATGCCGCTATGCCCAATGCTGACTGCGGGAGGTGGGGTTCATCAGATGAGTCATTCAAATCCTGTGGGTTGAAAAGAACTACACAAAATCAGCATCTCTCATGTCAAAACCCGCCAGCTTCCCCATTAAAGTCTCCGCCAGTTAATGCTGGGGTCCATCTTAGTGTGGAGATAAATGACCAGCTCGCTGTACAATGCAATGGCCATGTGAAATAGATTTTTTTTTTACAATATTAAATTGTACAATACAATAGTGCGGGAAATCAAAAAATGAAAAGGAGCATTGCACAAAAGAAAATGAAAAATACACAATACATGGTAGCTTCCAGGTATTGTTGAAAACAGTGCTTGTTACCTTATTACTCAAGTGTTCTGATTGATTTTGTCTTCTAATTCCCTTGTTTAAAATGACTGTGCTCAAGTCTACTTTGGGAAAACGCCAGTTAGAAGTCACACGCCCGAAGAAGGCTCCACAGCCGAAACGTTGTGTTTCCTTTCTTTGCAGCGTGGAATAAACCTTTAACTTGTTCCTAGATTAAATCATGTTGACCTATAAAGGGGCAGTCAAAACAGAGACCCTCTGTGAATTTAATGGATAGTCTGCTTCCTGTGAGCCAGCAGGAAAACGAAAGTGCGTTTTTTACAAATGGTGAGCTAACAAATACAGCCCAGCCTTGTGACTGTGTCCCAGCAATGGGCTCTTTGTCTCCCTCAGTGCTATCTTTCTGCTGTGTACTTGGTACCTGGCTATGCCTGCCTCTGTTAACAGCCACCGTATCAGTTTCTCTATTTTGGTTTCGCAGCTTGTTCAAAGGTCATGTTCTCTCTCTTTTTGCCATACACGTTCTTGGTTGTTTTGGAGGCATTGTAAAAGCACTTGAGATGAGCTCTAGCCCTCGTGATAAATGGACCACTCAGTGGTATAGCATGGAAATTAAAATAATAACAACAACAACAACGATAATAGACACTCCACTCAAAGTACTTTACAGGTAATGGGGATCCCCTCCACCACCATCAGTGTGCAGCCCCACCTGGATGATGTGATGGCAGCCACAGGGCGCCAGTACACCCCCCACACTCCAGCTCTCAGTGGGGAGGAGAGCAGAGTGATGAAGCCAGTTCAGAGATGGGGATTATTAGGAGGCCATGACTGGTAAAGACCAGGGGGAAATTTTGCCAGGACGCCTCCGTAACATTCCTACTCTTTTTGAGAAACACCATGGGGTTTTTAATGACCTAAGAAGTTTTATGTCGGTTTTACGTCTCATCTGAAGGACGGCAGCATTTTACAGTTTAGTGTCCCCATTACTATACTGGGGAATTAGGACCCACACAAACTGTGGGGTGAGCACCCCATACTGGCCCCACTAACACCTCTTCCAGCAGCAACCTTAGTTTTTCCCAGGAGGTCTCCCATGCAGGGTCTGACCAGGCTCATACCTGCAGAGTTTCAGTGGTGAGCTGCAGGGGTGATATAGCTGCTGGCATGAGTTTAAATGTCTTCAGATTTGATACAGACTGACATTCCAATACTGCTGCCTATGACTTATGATGGAACAAGTAAAGGTTTATTCCATTACTTTATTTTCAGATCAGAGGACTGGCACCCTCTTCCTGCAGAACCTGTCTTCTCCATTCTCTGGAACCTACACCTGCCAGGCCTCCAATGAGCTGGGACAGGCCTCCTGCAGAGTCAATGTCAGTGTCTCCTGTAAGTAGTCCATCCTTTCTTTTCTCCAGAAAGAAAGCACTCAGGGTCACAGACATTAAGGACGTTTATGTTAAGGTGAGTGTAAGGCTGTTTTGGGGAGTACATGAAGTTAAATTACTCTGGTCTTTAGTTATTTATATTTATTCCTTTTCTTCTTGTTTTTGTTTCTTTTGTGTCTTAATTTTAAATAAGACTCTACTGAGAAGGAAAAAAAAGCACGAATGCAGATGATGTCACTAAATCTTCACATTTCAGTAGATGACTGACTGGGACAAAATAAAAATGTTGTGAATTCCCTGTGCATTTATTTTTTTCTTTTAGATTGTTATTTTGCTATAACCCATTATGAGTAAATGATTAAACATATATAGTAATGAAATTTAGATTTCTAACACAGATTCCCATGATGGTGGCAAAATCATCAGGTACAGAAATATAAGATTATTTTTGTTATATTCTTAAATTGATTCTTTGTCATTTATTTAATCTAATTGAATTTCATCAGAATTGAAAACTGCTCGTGCACAGGTTTCCTGATTTTTGAGAGCTGTCCTTGATACCTGTTTGGTATCGATGGATTGACTGATTTTTTTCATACAGTTTTGAAATCTCTTACCAGAGCAAAAAATCCTCTACTGTCTTTTTCAGTAGTGATATCCTCTCTTCCCTGGGAATTTGAAATGACACCATAGTACCATTGTATTCAGGGTCTCTGTGTGTGGCTGTCCTGTGGTTTTGTTTCAGACACCAGCACTGCAGGAGTGATTGCAGGAGCCATTATGGGCACCTTTCTCATCCTCCTCATCTTCGGAGCAGTGGGCGTCTACTTCCTTTGGTACAGAAAGAAAAAGAGCAAAAATCCCCAAACAGGAAATGAGATCAGGTCTGTATTCCTCATCAGGAATCAGCCTGCCTCTTATTGTCTTCAGAAGAGTCTGTTTGTTGTGTGGATCCAGTTAAGTAGATGTTTAGCTTTGGGATGACCAAAACAGAGGTCAGTTTCTTACCTTTGAATTTAAGTGCAGCCAGATATACAGTTGTTTAAATCAGGGATCTTCTTATGTATCAGTTACAGTATATAGAATGAAATTACTTTGTGTTGTGTCTTGTTAAAGAATATGAATATGTTTATTTTAGTTAAAAATAATATTATTCATAATATTCAGGACGTTTGCATTTGGGCTACCTATGCCCAGGATTGTAATTTAGAGCTACTGAAAAATACTATCATAGGCAATGTGAGGGGTTAGGCTACCACCTAGTAAAGCTGCTGTTATATCTGTTGGACAGGGAGGATGATACAGCCCCTGCATTTTACGCTCCAAGACAGAAGCATGAAGATACTAGTTCTCAACTGCTCAACCACCACACAGAAAGACATGAAACGTCCAGTCTTTCCAGTCCAAAGCTTAGTGGCTTCGTCTGACACAGTCTGTTTTACACTGTTGTTCTCAGGTCTCCCAGGCTGAAATATCTCCATTTTAGCACCAAAGACCACTGCAACAGATTCCAACCTCTCTTTCAGCTCTTACTGATTTTGCCCTTTATATGGATACTGGACATTCTTTCGTTTCGTTTGACATTTAAATCAGTCCTTCGTATTGATTTTGTTTGTATATTGTGTACGTTTAAATAAAATATTTTTTTGTCATTATACTTATATGAGTACCATATTTTTTTCTATTCCCTTTATAATGCGTTGTTTTTAATGTAAGCAGCCTTATAGGATTCAGAAAAAATATGATATTAATAATAAACAACCATCATATTAGCATATACTGTATACACTGTATATATCTGACACAGGAATACTTCAGTTTCTTTGTAAGTCCCTTCAAAGCTAACATGAATACCATGTACCATGTCGTTTAAAATAATCTTTCCATCCTGACTCACTGTTGTTTTTACATTTCATTTACTGAAGGTGTTCTCCGAGCTTTTATTAAGAAAAGCAACCCCCCCACCTGCTCTGTGGTCCTAGGCTGGTTGCACTTTCAGAGGTACTTAGGAATCATTTTTAAATGGCCTGTTCATTGTCCATGGCAGAAAACAGCCCTGGAAACAGGGCTGACTCAGGTTGTTTTTAGTGCTTCTGAGCTGATTACATTACGGTGATTCTCTAATATTATTATTGTCTATAATACTATATTATTTAAAATGCCAGTTTCCCTAGTGTCAGTAGCTCTAAATGTATTCTTTTCTTTCAATATGCCAGGGTAACAGCGTTTATTTTTTTGTTACTGCTTTGGGTTCTGCTCCAGTTTTCAAGTGCTGCAATTAATTCACCCTGCGGTTTATTTTTCTTAATGTTTTTTGATGCTGTGTTTTGGCCAACAGAGGCCGACAAAGCTAATTAAATCCTTCTGGTGTCTCAATCCACTGGTGACCACCTGAAGCCTAATTATTCTTTGACACACATATATAAATGTATATTTAATTCATAACAGAATTAATGTTAAAATAAATACTGCTGACTTGTCACTCAGATATTTACATATTTACATTATTGCAAAGCCTGAGCCTCTAATCTCATTTTTCTTACATATCTGTCTCTGTGTCTGGGCTGCTGGGTCTGTCATGCAGCTCACAGGACTGCAGCCCCCCCTTGTTAAACACAGATGTTCTGGGATTTGGCTCTGGGACATTGAGAGATGTTGCAATTCATTTCAATTCAAGCTTTATTATACCCTGGGGCAAATTTGTTTAGCGGCGGGGTCCAGCAAGACAATACAACAGAAAAACAAACAACATCACCAGGAAAACAGTCCAGGACGGCAAAATTTGGGGAGATCAAAAAATTGCTCTTTCAGGTTTGAGAACGAGATTTCAGAGTTGGTGAGCGATTCCTTAAGTCAATTACCACCAATTACACTTTTGGCACAGTCTGCTTCCAGATGGGAATTGTGTAATTTCACGAGGGTGTGTGTGTGTGTCACACACTCCATAATGCTGCTAGCCTCGGTTTGCACAAACCTCTGTTTGCTGAGTGCATTAGGTTGATCTGATTTACCCCAGTTTTGTTGAATGTGTATTTAATGTACATGGCAGTAAACCTTATCCTCCACTCTTCTGCCTCAGGGCAGGATAAGGGACTAGATTCCCTGTGGCCTGTGTGCGAATTCTATACAAATAATACATGTGATAGATATGAGAAGCATGTATTATACTCAGGCATATTAAATGGAATGCCAGGAGATGGCATTAGTATCAGAAATTTGGATTCAAGTGTTCTGTCATTTAAAGGGTTTTGCACACATACCCATCGTAACCTCACGATTTCTCTTGGTCTATACTGTCTATACAGTCTGTGTGAGGACTGGACATGAACACAATGCCCCTGACATGCCCCTGGACATGAACACAAACCCAGATGAACACAGGTAGAACATGCAAACTCCACACAGACAGCACGCCAGGTCTGGAGTTGAACCCAGGACCTCAGTGATGCAGGCAGCTGTGCTGACTGCTGCACCACTAAAAAAAGTGTCACGTGATCCTGTCATAAAATACAGTGGTTTCACGTGATTAGTTTGGCGACTACATAGAGACCTTTTAACTTGCTCTGTGTCAAACTATTTTGCTTTTATTTAATGAATTTCACTGTTGATTTCCAAAAATGTAGATTGATTTTACTTTCGACTGTAAAGGAGCTATGTTGACATTTGTTGTATATTGTTGTTGTATATGTATAAAACAAATGAAACGTTTATAAATGAAGCATTAATTAATGAAGGAATCAGAGGAGGACCAGGGGAATTGGGATTGTGTATCTGGAAATGTGCACTGAGGGATGAATATTAATTTTAAAGTGTGATTTATGTGTGTGTGCATTTATGCCTTGTTTTTGTGTGAAACCATCAGTTCATCGATTAGAAATACAATCCCTTTTCACCAAACTTAAGAGCAGGAGGCCTAGGCTGGCATTTCACATGAGAATGTAAAGCTTATTTGAGGAATACTCCTGTGAAATTGGCCACAGGTGTGTATAAAGAAGAGCTCAATGCAGAGCTCTTGAGAGCTCGTTATAAGCCTTAGCCAGGTGGTCGTGTGGGTTTTCAGTCTTTATTTTATTGTGACAGCTTTTCTGGGATACACTTAAACTTTGAAGTGTTAATCTCTTTATTTAGTACAGATAAAGTTGGCGATAAAACATTCTCATATCTGTAATATAGGGAATGGGGGTACTTCTGCATTAAAAAACATGAGGACTACAGATGTACTGTAAATTGGCTTTTTAGCTTTGTTTAAGAGCTGTGCAGTGCCAAAATGGGCAATTTACAAATGGATGAACTGAAGGGATACAATCTGGTGCCTCTTTACTCAGTTACACCTTAGGAATGCTTTTGAGCTCTGAAGAACACCTTTCTTCACACAGAGGACAGAAGCGGTGATATCAGCAAAGACTGTTTTATTCAGGACCAGGATGAGGTACGTACAATGATGCATCATTAATAATGAATGGGGAGCTCATGCAGATTTGGCTGAAGATAGAATAGTTGCAGGCTGTCCATTGTTTTCTCCCGGGCCTGTGGCTGTTTTAAGTAGGACACAGCACTGCAAAACAGGGAGTGGGGAAAAAATCCAAATTAACGTGGTCTCGGAAATGTATAGGAGCAGAACCAAGCTCTGCAGAACTACCCAATGGTTTTAAAAACAGTAATATTTTAAGATAATCTACAAGCTTTATCTTACTTTCCAGCTCAGTGCTGATAAAATTACATTACCACGAAGATGGAAAGTACGCAATGCTGCAGGAATACAAACGTCTGCAGTACAGAATAAAAAAGCAGTTGCCCTATCCTATCCATCTTTCCATGCTGGGGGGGGAACAAATGTTGCCAGGGAGAACGGACTGTGGGGTGGAGGGTCAGACACTGTCGGGGTGCTAGTCCATTGCAGGACTAGGGTCAGTTTTCAGATGGGAGTTAAGATAGCCAGCATGTCTTGGGAAAAGGGCTGGAGCATGGGAACAGCGCACAGGGGCCACACAGAAGGCTCCTGAGTCTGGAATCCAAGCCAGGACTCAAGAGCTGTGAGGCAGCAAAATGAATGATCCACCCAGAAATAAGTCAGCTTTTTCTTTTTGTTCCACATCCATCTGAGCAACACGTATTCAAAGCAGCATACACCTGTCCAAGAGGGACAAACTGGACAGCTGCTAAGTATCCAACGTTACTTCATTATGAAAATTGAGGCTTTTGTATCAATAGTTGCTTCCCTCCCCCCCAACCCCCACCAAGCAGACAAGCGCTTTTGCCTCAGGGATTCCAAAAGAGTGGAAGTGCTTCAGTTTGTCCCTACACTATTTTAGGTTGGCGTCCTTGACCGGAGGAACGCGGGACTCTCTTTCATCACCTCAGAAGACACCGCGGGCACCCCCGAGGTAAATGTGGGTTGGTTGCTGGCGTGGATTTGAGCTGCGTTTGGTTTAAAAAGGGCAGGCAGCTCCTGAGCAGAGTCTGCTTCTCATTGCCAAGCTGGCAAATCAATCAACTTTTGGTTTTGATCCTAATCTGCACCCCTGGATGGGTCCCCATATTTAGACTCTTTGTAACCCCTATGTTTGAAATTCATTTTTGACGTATTCATCCACGTACAGTACATATACACACTCCATGCTGTGATATGCCTAAGCGGATCTCTGACCTGGAATTGTACAGTACGTGCAAAACTCTTATGATCCATTACCTTTCAAAATGTAGTCGGTTAATAAAGTTGGCACTTTCTCACTGTCTTCCTTCATTGCATAAAGGACTAAGGAACGAAAACAAAACATGGGGGAAAAAAATTGTCACATCTGTGGATTCTGTTTCCTTGCTTTGATGATTTAGGTGCAGAAATAATTCTGAGCTTTTTATCAATATTATAAAGATTCATGCATTTTCTATTTCTAGTGGCTGAATTTCACTCAACCGCAACCCAAATAAATGTTGATGAAGGGGGCACTGTGGCCATATGCCCATTAGATGTAATAAAGGTCTTACTTTTTGTGAGCATCTGAAGGTCTTCCACTGTGGGAGGTGTGCTTCTTTTCTCATAGGGAATCACTGTGTTTAAATACTGAAGAAAGAGGGGGTTATCATTATGGTATACACTGTTCAATAAAAAAATGAAAACACACCATAAAGTGTATAACCCTCTGCTCCAAGATCCTACAGGCCTGTATAGAAAAATGACCACATCAGCACCCACTTACACAATGCTCTATTATTTGTCATTAAGGAATATGTTTATTCACAACTCCTGAAAGAGTGGTTCGATAAAGGGTGGCGGGGGAGTCCTGCCACCCTGAAGCATGCTCCACCTTTGTGAAAACTTGGAGAATTCCAGTGAGCTCTTCCTTCCTCTCCCCCTTTGCCTGAAGTCGCCAAAACAGCAGTTGTCAATGCAAAGCTTTTCAACTTCTAAAGGCCATGCTTACATAATCTTTAAAGTCCTAGCGCCAGTGTTCAATAAACTTAAATGTGCACTGTGGAAGGCAGTACAGAGGATAGCTAGGCCCCTGGAAAGGAACAGATTAAGTTCAGGTGTTACCATATGTGGAACCCGTGGCAGGGGTGTCTAGCTCCTGACCCGAAGGTCCTGGGTTCAATCCCGGGTAGGGGCAAGCGATGGAGCTAATTCTAATTCTTTCCAGGCGGCTCCACATCACCTCCACCTCCAGTGTCGCCCTTGCCCCCCATTCCCCCATGGGCCTTTATGGCCTGTAAAGGGACCTACCTTTTACCATGTGTGCTTGTTAAAAATTATCCTGGGTTTGGGTACATTTGGCCATACTGCTCGTGGAGATAAGAGAGAAAGTATTTACCTGTTTCTCTGTCCCTGAGTTCCCAAATGTCTGTCTGATCCCTGTTTGCAGAATGTTGGACAGCCCCTCCATACTGAAGCGCTGAAATTTTCAAACCATGAACATTAGTAGGAGGTATTGAGTAGTAGTGGCTGTTCCTCTGGACTTGTAACTAAAAGGCTGTTGGCCCAAATCCTGGGTGAATTTCACAAATACTATTGTGAAACCCTGGAGCCAGATATGTCTCCTCGATTGCTTCCCTGGGCTGCCATGTGGATTCTCAGATCATTGTTTTAAATGAGAACTTGCTGTTCTTTTAAACATGTTGTTAAGGTTAGGTTTGCAAGGTATCGGTGTGGAAAAAATGGTTCTTGAAAGATTGTGAACTTGACTGTATGCAATAATGAGACGCAGTTGAAAAGGCTTTTATGGGTCCAATGATAGGTTTGATACAATTGGCTTCAGTTGCTATAGAGACGTGACGTAAAATTGGAGGAAGTCAGTGGCATTATATCTCCATTGCAAAAAGTTACATTCACTGGAAAATATGGCTTTTTAGCTGGGTTTTAGTGTGCTCAATACTCATTTGTTTTTCACTTATTGAGTAATTTGATTTGAGGGAAAGGCTGTTTTTAAAAATGTTTGTTCTGTTAATGTTTTGTTTAAATTGGAGGAATGGAAGAAATGTGCTGAAAGCTCTATGCAACAATAAAACTAAAAAAATATCAGTGTTTCTCTGCCTTACAGTAAAACGTCTGCTTATCATCACTTGGGTAATTTCACAAAACACTAATTTTCGTAAATAGCCCCTATACTTTACTTTATCTAATTGACTCCCTGAGGATATTGTGGGAGATGTCCCACGTAACCGATGACGATGTGTGCTAATTTTTGAAAGAAAGTAAAGGATGAGATTATTCGGCCTCACTCTGGAGCAGCCATTAGCTCTGTCGTTTTCAGACCAGAGGCTCAGGGGTTTGATTTCCAGGTGTAACGTTGCAGGTATTTATTTAAGTAAGGTACTTAATTCTGATTCCTCCACTGAATGTACCGCTACTTTATATAAAGAGAGATGATAGGGAAATGAGAATCTCTCAATCTTTTTAAAAATCCATTAATAAAATAAACTGCATCTTAATCTTCCAAATCAGAACAACTATTATATAATAAAAGAATCTGTGCCATTAGTTTGAGAGATGCACCAAACCTCTAAAGCTAAAAGCATTTCCCATTTCTGTTTTTTGTTTTTATTGGTTTGTTTCCTGTAAATGCAGTTCAAGGATAAGGCCATCTCCTCAGTCCATTATCTCTCCCGGATGATTCCTTTAATTCTGCTGACTGTAATAGACCATTGCCTGAACAATTACAGTCTATTACAGTCTATTAGCATTACGGTCTGCATGTATTCTTATTTCTACCTACCTGGTAAAACAAAAGTTCCTTCACTTCAACCTTCTGCTATTTGTGATGAAGTTCGACATGGTAATCTTTGTACATAATGGATTCCCGTCAGTATTCACATTTTCATAACTTGCTTTCATTGGGCCTTCTCCTGTCTGTACATTTTATCACAAGGCTATGGCTCGGCACACTACACTGGTAATGATTTTATCAAAGCTCTGATGTGGCGAGGGTACTGAGATCGGGGCAAAACTAAAGAACGGCATAGTGAAAGTGGTGCAAATAAGTGTCAATTGAAGAGTTGATCTATAGGACAAAGTGCAAAAATCAACTATAATAAAAATAAGAGTTTCTTACACCTATATAGTGCTTTTCTGGACACTCCACTCAAAGCGCTTTACGGGTAATGGGGACCCCCCTCCACCGCCCCCACCTGGATGATGCGACAGCATCCATAGTGCTCCAGAACGCTCACCAGCTCTCAGTGGGGAAGAGAGCAGAGTGATGAAGCCAGTTCAGAGATGGGGATTATTAGGAGGCCATGACTGGTAAAGGCTTGGGAGAAATTTGGGCAGGACACCTGGGTAATGCCCGTACTGGTGTAAGGCTGTAATAAGAAGCATATTTGACCCCAATGAAAAGACTGCAGGGACCCAATCCCCTCTCCCCTGCTCTGGTGCTGCGGCCCTGACCTTCACAGGCATAGATCCGGCCTTGTCCGCCCTGGCTGTGCCCTGCAGGCTCATGCCTTTCTCCCGGCGCCGGCGCTTGGTCAGGTCCCTCTGCTCCTTCTGCCGGTTCTGCACCTCCATCAGCGCGGTGATGAAGGCGTTCTTCACCTCCTTCTCGAACTCCAGCTCCTCGCGGCGCGCCAGCTGGGTCACCAGCTCCTCGGAGAACTCGCGGATAGTCGCCTCCACCCGCTGCAGCAGCTCCGACAGCGCGGAGGTGGGCATCAGCTGCAGGCCTGCCCAAACCCCCCCACGGGGCACAGGAGAGGTAGCCGGTGAGGGGCCACATTCTCCGCAAGAAGAGACAGGAGGGCTACGTCTTTCCCTCCTCGACACATCAATGAAACGGCTACACACAAGAAGCTTTCCTACTCTTTCTCAAAGCTTCACAAGCTGCTCACCTGCCACCTCTTTTCTGCTCACTTTACCTCTGAGAGGTGCGGCGAGTGATCGGCCACCTACCTGTCCGTATCATGTACAAGTAAACATTCGCTCGTAGGAGACACGAAAAGATTTGTCGAGAGCTGTGGCCGGACAAAAAGATGTTTTGGGGGATCTGGGACCAACAGCAGAATGGAAGGGAGCTAAGTAAGGCTCCTTGCAGAGGGTGAAGGCTGGTACCTTCATAAGAGCAGTTGTTGTTGGAGGCGTGAGAGAGGACTCGGATCTCCTCCAGCAGAGAGGGGTTGGGCGGGGGAGAGGACTGCCCGCTCTCTTCCTCCTCCTCTTCCTCAGTTTCCTCTGGGTCAGGGGAGTTCTCCATCATCTCCACTATCTCCTCGATCACCTGACGCATCAGAACAGAAATGTCACCGGTGGGAGGGGTGACCCTCCTCTCCCAGTCCTCCTTTGCAGACCACCAAGCTTAAAAAGTATTTACTCTGGATGTGTGCCAACGTTTGTGCAGGGTCTGCTCTGCACCAGCCATGTGAAAACTGAGTAACAATATTTTTCTAATGATGTTCATGAGATGTGGCCTGGTTATCCGGCCTTAAAAAAACTTAGCGTGTAAGTGTAAAACCCAAGAAATGTGGTTTACCAAGGGGGAAAAAAACAAATTCTCAACAAAACAAAACAGTCTTCCTTTTTCATTAGGCATAGTGAACGTTTCTTAAATATCCTCTATTGAATCTGTAGTTTTAACTGTCAGAATATTCATGGTTTATACGGTAGTGTCGACTGCATTCAGTCAGTTCCCAGTCAATTAAAATGATAACAGGAATGACAACACACACTGAAACTGAATTTAATAACACTGTCCAGCTGTCTGTGAATAAATGAAAATCTCCCTAGTGAATATTTAGTTCTGGATTTGTGTTGCACTGGATTTATCTGCAGTGATATAGCTAGCGGCATGTTTCTTCGCTCCTCAGGGGCACCTTTAGGTTGAAGTGCAAAGCCCTGCTGTGCTCGTGACCTAATTAATGTTGCTCCACATTTAGCTTGCAGCAACCAGGAGATATCAGACAAAATATCAGACTTTCTTTATATCCTGGTATCAAAGCAGGGCACTCTTCTGAATTGGATAGAATTATGAAAGTAACACAAACTGGGTGCACTTATTTTCAAGATGAATGGTTCTGGCAAAATTAAACTATTGTCTTTTAAAAGTCCCCGATTCTTGCAGTGAGTTGAAATAAACTTGATAAAGGTGCATCTTGGAGCAAGCAGGGGAAATCTCACAGCTGCGAAGTAGCATTTTTCATCCATGAGACAAAAGGACCTTGAGCTTACCCTTCCAAATAAGCAGCTGTACTGTAGACATGCGAAACATTGCACCACATTTTGTTTTCTCCATAATACTGCAGCCTAGCATTTTCCCAGCATTATACCCCATGAGTACAGGGTGGATTTATCATGAGTTTTTTCATTGGTGATTTTTGAGAGAAAGTGCAGCTCAATGTCTGCTTTTATTAGCCAGATATTCAGACATCTAATAGCATAGTAATGATGATTCCCGAACTGTAAGTTCTGTGGCCCCCAGTCGGAGTCTGTTTTCCACTATTTCACTAAGTCACCTGATCAGCAGTAACAAGAGGTTCCTCATTCAGACAGTTGGTGTTGTCATTCTTCTCATTCATTTCTTCTTCTTTTTCGTGGACCTTGAACAGAGGGAAAAGTACAAGTATTGTAGTAAATATGTGAAACATGCAAGTCAGGATGGTTAAAAGAGCATATCGTTTACTAAGCCTTACCAACATGCTTCTAATTACAAAGGTATCGACTTTGTAACCATTGATGTTTTTTAATAATTGCAGTTGAGGCTGCATTATCTCTCATCTTATCGTCTCAGACTAATGTCTCTCATTTTGTTATCTGAATAGCCCTCTATCTAAACTATTTTCTTAGTGTTTCCATTATCTGGAAAGACATTTTCTTCAGTTATTCCTGGTTGGAAAGTCTCCTCTATACTTCCTTTCCCATCACTCCTCCTCATGTTTGCACTGTGTGTGCGTCACAGCATCACTGAGATGTACACCTAGGGTGGAGGAAATTCTGGAAATAGTACATCTGATTTTCAACGGCTGACTGGACTGAGTGAAGTTGGGTTGGTTTGTCGAAAATGATCTCGACCGATCTTTGAGTCTGGAAAAAAAGACTGATCTTAGAGGAATTCACAAGTTCAGAACCGTGTGAGTACTAGCTAACAAGAATGTAACTATATGCAGTCTAATCTGTAAGATTTAGAGCTTTTTCACTGCCTCTTACAGTCTATATTTACAGGATATATTTAACCCATGTTTTGATCCTAGGTGTATTTCAACAAACCTAAAGCACTGGTTTTATAATGCCCTGTTTCAGATTTTTTTGGCTTGTTCTTAGATTTACTTAGCGGATCTGTTCACAAAGAAAAGAAAATCCCTCCTTCTGGTGATCTGTACTGTTTACTCTTAATGCAATTACCAGGTCTGGAATTGGATGCACTTTCTAATTTTGAATATCTAACAAAACAGTAACTTCTAACAAACAGTAACAAAACAGTAAAAAATATCTGGGCTGTTTCGGTTCATAGAGTGAATATCGCTCTTGGCAGCTTGATGAACATTCCTGAATTAAAAAACATACTTGAGAAGTTGCTTTAAAAACGGAGGCATTTTGCCACCTTTTTTACCCATGAATGATCATGCCCCCTTTCCCAAACACGTGCTTCAGCCTCAGCTGTTTCTCCCAGCTCCTCAGATCTAATTGCTTGGACAAGTGCCCTTCCACACCAATCCAGTTCTGAGAAACAGATTACATAGTCTCTTGGTTTGAAATGCAATGAAGAACTGGCAATGTCTTTCCTGTTATGCTCCTTTCCTTTTAAGTGACAGGGCCTGCTTCCCAGAAGCCTGAAATGTGCCTGAATCAATGGAAACGTGATTGAGCCTGATGGGTGCTCTTCCTTCATTCATCCTGCCTGGTGCCTCTCAGACTGAGTCTTCCCTTCCTGACACTCCACTGAGAGCCCAGGGCTTGAGAAAGCTGCTGACTTCACGCACAAACACGGCTTGTGTACAGACTCCTGGGCCCCTCATTCTCTGTCTTGCAGTGTCCTGGCCTGAGAGCAGTTCTGTTCAATAACTATAATGCAGCCTGAGAGAGCAGGAGCGTTCGGGATGGATGTGGTTTCAGATTCATTAATCTCCAGCTACACTGTAGTCTGGAGAGCAGAAAGAAGCCAATAACTAAATCGTCTTGCTTCCAAAGTGATACCTTGGACAGTATTCAACTACAAAGTATGTTCAGAATCCTGTAGCTTGATTTCTTTTTGAAACATTTTTGTCTCAGTGTACTGGCTCTCTCTGAAATGTAGAATTGATTCTAAGGTGCTCTTGCTTCCATACAAGACATTGAATGGTCAAACTCTAAATTATATAAAGGACCTGTAAGGAAGTATAGTTCAACACACAGTCTGATACTGTTTATTCAGATGTAGGATCTCTCATCTTAACTATACTGTACCTGGCTCAAAGCTCAAAGATTTCCCTAGGTTGTGAATTCAGTGCTCAGATTCTTCAGAGACTGCAAAAGTGGATCTTTCTAAATCACATTTAAAGACTTACTTGTTTTACTGTTGCCTTTAATCGGCAACTCAATGATGTACTCGATGATGTACTTTCTACACGTTAAGTGTACAACTCAGTACGCTGGAGTTTTTGTAAAGCAGCGAGTAAAATATTGTTCTACACCCAGTATGGGTCAATTATCAGAGTGACTACAGCTGGGAAGAGGCTATTAGACCCATCAACATCATCTGACTCTGTTTTTCCTTGGTCCCCTAACCAGTACTTTTAAGTCACAATGTTCGCCTTTTGCTTAGTTTCTCTGTGACAGTTCATCACTCTTTCAGTACCTTGTGCAGGTTCAATTGGTTATTTTGTCAAATTAGCTTCATTGTCTCTCTCTACTCAGTGCGCTTTTATTGCTCAAAATGAGGTTGTGTATGACTCTCTGGATTCTAGCATTTGGTCAATAAATTCCCGAGGATGCTAACACCAAGAAGAACCCAGTTTGACCCTGTGCCTCCAGGTTTCGTTTCCTAAAAGCGACAGAGGGCTGTGACTGTCACCGAAGAGAGAGCGTACCTCCTGGTCAGAGAGATTGCCGTTGAGCCCCTCTGTATTCTGGTCGTCCCAGCTGGAGCTCGTAGAAGACGCGTAGTTGTCAGTCAGAGCATCCCAGACCCTGCACACACGGCGAGCAGAAGACATAAGAGAAGAATTTAGGTTTTCTGCAGCGACTTTGAGCTGGTTTCTTGTGTGCGAATCCCCCCCCCCCAGACACATCCTTGAGCCCTGTGGGACTGTTGCGCAACAGAGAGGAACAAAATGCACGCAGCTCTTGCAGCAGGGGCTGCCCTTGTAAGGCGCAGTGGGTTGCCTGGCTTCCTTGCCAAATCAGCCGGAAGTCTTGAACAGGAAAGGCAGAGAGAGGCTGGCCTGAGTCCTCGGCGTGAACGCTTCGGCTGTGATGTGTGCTAACCACTCCCCTCAATGCAGCCAAGCTGGGATTCTGCTTTTGGCATGGCATCATATCGAAAAAGGCAGCTAGATGATGAAATGAATAACAAAGTCGGCTATTTTGTTAAAAAAAACAATCTTTATACATTGAAAGGCATTAAAATGCAACCGGTGCTATAGGTTCCAGTAGTCTATTTTTGCCATTTCAATGCCATTTTAAGTAGACATCCATCCTTTATACATTGTATTTGGTTAGTAAAAAATGCAACTATTTATGTCCTAAAATTCTCTATTTAAATTCCAGTGATACGATATCAGGTTTTATCAAACTGGCAGAGAAATAATTAATGCACCTGGAAAGAAAACGGGCAATATTTGATATTGAACTGGGTTTTTTTATAATTTTTTAAGTATACACAAAACATTACTGCTAGTCAGAAAATATACCGGTAAAGAACAGCAGCATATTTTCTCATTTTAATTCTTAGTTCACAAAACTAAGAGTAAAAGTAAGCGATGTACAAAAAGTGTTCAGAAAAAAAGCGTTCTGAACATATTGTAAAGGTGGATCAAAACACTCTGGAACTCAAGTCAAAATTATTAAAACAAATTATTCTGTAAAGTACAGTTATACCTCAGTTTGGGAAAGGACACAACACCATGTACAGTAGAACGCCCATTATTTATAACAAAGTGTTCCATAAAATATTGATACACATACATCTGAGGAAAAAAAACACAATATAGTCAGTCACTGTTAAAACTAGCTTCTCTGTAAAATACAGATCTACCTCAATGAAGTTGTGTACGCCCCCATCTTCACTTGATGCGTCTTTAAGTACTCTGTTGCCCTTGTTCTGAAAGCTGCATGCCTCTCTCAGTGAGATCCATACTTGAATATGGACAGAGAGAGGGAGAAAAACCTTTTGTTTTTCCAGTCCCATCCCATTTAGTGGCACTGCCAAGCACTAAAGAGAACAACTGTCTGTTCTTTAGCACTTTCTCAACTGTTAGCCTCTCTTGTTTGTGAGCGCTCTCTCCCTCTTCTTCTCTCAGATGACTGGCGCTCGCTCGTACCATCGCTTTCCATCAGTGTGCTCGCTTACCATCTGACAGACCCAAGAGTCTGAAGAGCAGAACGCAGGACAGAAAGGAGATGGAAGAGCGCTCACTCCCCATCAAAACATTTCAGGCCGAGACAAAGTTGAGAAGTTAGTCTAAAGCTCTAAAAGCCAGGCTGACTCCCAGTGCGGGGTGGTCTTTGTGAAATGGGAACCTAACGTTCTGTAAACCAAATCCTCCTTCAATCTGCTCCTTCAAGGAGGTTTGTTTTTTTTTCTTAAAAACCTTCACCTTTCGATGGGCTGTGAAGGCTCTGCTACAAACACATGGGCTCGGATTGTAAAAAGTGAAAACTAGGTGCAGATTGAAGACTATAGCCCATGTGCTGTGAGAGGGTTATGGTGCTAGCTTAAAACTAGTGTGGGTGGCAAGAGGACTCAAAGGTGGTTTCTACCCTTTAGACATGGGAAAACTGGACTGGACAAGGCATAGAACTGTAGGCACAAATCATCAATCCTTAGGATTTTTCTACCTGTACCATAAATTCTCAGATTCCAGTTAATTTTTTCATGCTGGTCAATTAGTCAAATTGAGCGATCTTTAACACTCAGTCTCAGAGTAACTCAGCCAGCATTTTTCCACATGATATCAAGCTAATCGCTCACACCCTGAATTAAAGCACAAATCAGACGGATTAACAGGTTGTGCTTGTATGTTTTGTATTTTAATGTTTCCTCCCTTGAACTGGCAGTTCAGCCAGAAAATAAACTGTAGTCCAGGATCTGTTTAGACACCCTGTGGTTTTGGCTTATGAATTCCACATATAAATAAGGTTTGGAATGTCATCAATACTGAGGCCATGTTTGACCTGCTTCAAAAGGGATATGCATTGATTAGAATTACAATACCCTCAAGCCACTACAGCAGTGTTATTTTTAACACAAAGAGCTATTATTAGATGATAAGAAATTTGACTCAGGACTTTTTCACCTTTGCTGAAGTGGTGGCTTACTGTATAATCAGCAGGACACAGCCAGGGATGAGAGAGGGAGAGAACTGAAACACAGAGAACTGAATTCGAAGAAAATCTCAGAAAATTACTGTGCACAGATTTTTTACACTTTTATGTTGCTCTGGTGGCTCAAGGTCTTGAAAACTGGTGCATAACTCCATGTTGACGAGGCAAGTATTTAGTGTGTTCTTCACCGTATTCTGATGTTGCTACTATTTTATTAATCCACCCGACCATTACCAGTAAGCCGCTTACCGCTGGCAAGGCTGACCATAACCCAGAACCTATCATGGTGGAACAGGGATCAAGATGGCCGAGGTCGGAGTCTACCACGGCTTACACGCACGGACACACGAGGACAATTGAGAGACTCCTTACAGAAACCATGCCGACTTGATTCATTGGCGGAAGGAAACCGAGGCACCTAGAGATAAACCAATGTGACTGGGGGAGAACATGCAAACTCCACGCACAGGGAGCGTGTGAACCGAAGAGATTAAGTGCCTTTAACCTACAGTGTGAGACTGGGAGCCATTCTTGATCCCTTTTCAATGTTTTCAAAGGCTACGATCGCCTTTATGTCGTTTCGTGACACAAATCCAGCACAGTATCCCAAACAAGCTCTTACTGAAGTATCGCAGAGCTTGAGCACCCTTTTCCTTGATTTGTACTCCCCACTTTCTGCTACACACCCAAGCATCCCACTTGCTTTCTTTACCGCTTTCCCACACCGTCTGGATAAAAAACCCGGAAGAGTCCAAATAAGCACCCCAGATCGTTTCGTACACGGTGTCCTGGTTCAGTCAAGCTCTCAAGCTGGATACCCCTGCACCCCCCCCGTATGAGTTCGACACTCACTCCTCGTCCTGGAGCAGCTCCTCCTCCTCCTCGATGTGCGTCTGGCTGCGCACGGGGGCCAGGCCCTCGGTCTTGGTGTTGTAGTTGCGGAAGCAAACGTTGAGCTTCTCATCGAACTCGTTCACCAGGTCCTCCATGGACTTGAAGCTCATCATCTCGGAGAAGTTCTCCAGCTCGGAGAACTCCTCCCGCGCCAGGGGGGCGGTCCCAGCGGGGCGCGGGGGGAGCTGGCTCCTCTTCTCCACCTGGCAGGGTCTCAGGTCCTCAAAGTCTTCATCGAGGCACACCAAGGGGGCTTCCATCTTTCCTGACTCCCTGGCTGGGCAGATCCCGTACACACACGCCTATGGGGGGGGGAGACATTTGTGGTGTATATATGAGAGAAAGCTCAAGAATTCCAAGCTTGTGCTGGAACCTTAATAAACTCTTAAAGATGATTTTGTCCCAAAAGCATTTTATTTAACTGGTTTGCTCATAGATATCTTTAAAACCCTCCTACAGTCCCTGTTCTCATCCCACCATCCTATGGTGTGCTCATTAGAGTACAAGGGAGTACAAAATGAGAAAAGTTTGTGTGGAACGCCCACTTACAGCAAGCTTTCCATTTAATTTTTTCCTCCACTGGCCCGCTGGGAGCCAAAATCTGTCACCTTCATTATCACCCTGTTTTTACCTCATCGATCTTATGCAGCAAGACTTCTTACATCCCCCGGTTTTTAGGTTTTAATCGTGCTCATAAGGTATGTAAAACTTGTTTCAGAAGCGTAATTCTTTTTCTGCTAGGAAAATAAAGCATTAGAGTATCATACTGGAGAGAGGTGTCCTGGAGATAAATTGCTGATCAAGCAAGAACTAAAGCACTTCCACATATTTTAGTCTATCGGTGTAATCACTCATTCATACAGATATATTTTTAGCAATAATGTGAAAAAAGGAATGAGACAGTCCTGTCAATGTCTCTGCTCCAGGGATCCAGCCTATTGTTAATACCAAGGAACTCATTAAAAAAGTTCTAAGATAATTGAGGGAATCAGAAATGTAGCCACATAATGTAATGATGAATCTGATCTCCCCTAATGAGATATTACAAGCTCTTTTGTTGGTCCACATGGTAATCATATGAGTACTTGGCAAGCGAACTGATGAGGACTGTAATTATTTTCACATTATCAGTAAGTGTGTATGCTTAATTCTTGAAGACCTTTTACAGAATCAAAAGTATTCTCATCTGGTCTTCCTTTCCCAAATACGTTCACCGGTGTTTTTCCTTCTGGAGTCCATTTGCTTTCAGCTGTTTTTTACCTATTCTGTGTATTGTGAAAAGGTACCTGGTACATTTTTACCCAAGAGCAAAAGGCAACATTTGAAGGTCTGTAGTAACTTAAAACTTAAAACCTAACAGAGTGTTTTAACGAGCACAATTAAAACAAAACTTCAATTGTCCTTATCCTAAAACACAGTTCTCCCCAATGTCTGGATTTTTTGTTACCTTTTCAATATCCTGCTATCTTCACTCTTTGTGTTGGGGAATCTGATGGTCTGTTTGATTATGATTCCTGTAAGATATTTGTCAATAGTCAGACTTCTGTCCTGTACAATTCACCAGCTGTAGGGATACCATGCATTTTGATGCCAAGATCTTTAGAAAGGATGCCTACTGCTTACTTTTTGTTCAATGCCAGATGCAGAGTAGTCCCTGGAGGGAATGTTGTTCCTTCACATGTAACAGTACTCACAGCTTTGCAGATACAATACAACACAATTCAAAGTAGGGGCTTTTGTTCTGTCAAATGCACATCACTGACGTCTACTCTGAAGTGCTGAAGTAACAATATATAAATCAGATTGAAGGAAAATAAAAAAAACAAAGGAGGTATTTCACAATTTAAATGTATGGCCAGGAGAAGCCAGAGAGATCGTGAGATTATACAACAGATCCATGACCTGACAAAGTTCGTATACACATTGTGGAATACAGAGTAAATGAACTAAAAAATAAAAAAATGTGTTTTTGGATTTCTTTATATTATTAATGTTACTTTAATGAGAAAATCATTGCTACTGTATGTACTGAAAAGCCTGGAAAACAGCCTTACTTGGCCATAAATCAAGGGATGAAACCCATTACTTGATGTTGTAAAGCTATTTTACACAGTGAGGTACAGAGTGCTGGATTTTATGAGGTCTGTAGAGGTCATATTCCTGGAGAGACTGAGAGCCTAAAGTTGCTGACTTGTCTACTACCTTTATATGTTGTTAAGTTTAGCAATATGCAGTTTTCCAATGCTGGTTTTGAACCCCACAATTTTCATTTGAACATCAACAGAGCACAAAAGGACTGATAGAAAAATAACAGCAGATGGAATATTCCAGGACTTGTTTATTTTAACCATATGAACTCGAATTGCTTAAACAACTCCTCATACTATTCAATAGATGTTCCAAGAGGTTGTTTCAATGACAGCCTTAATAATGGTTAAACAATAAAGTAATAACAAGTTTGCCCCGTTACATTTAAATTTGTTAACTCCTATAGATTGCCTCTCAGGCTCTGAAGGGGGAAAAAAATAAAATAAGGAAAATCCTTTCTGAAGATTTTGTGAGAGTATCTTACAAAATAAGTACTCATTATTGACATGAAATGAAATCTGTGTCTCTTTCTCCCTCTCATTGAGGCAGATTTCAGGCCAAATGGATCTGACAAGGCTATTAAACGGAAGAGCATTCCTCAGAGCAAATCATGAGGCTCTAAATTAGTCAGGGACTATGGAAAAAATATCTTTCCAAATAGCGAGGACTATTTTACTGTAATTGGCTAGGGAAAGAAAATTCTGTATGTCCTTCGTGAAGCAACCTTGCATTGCAATGGTTTTAACAAGCTATTTTTCGTTCGCTGAGAAAGTGCAAAAAAATGGGTTTCATATCAATGAGGACAACAAAAAAGTTTTTGTGCCGTGAAAGCGAACCACTGCTGTCGAGCATGGAGGACAAGAGGGATGTGTGAAGCCTTCTGACGAGGTGCCGTTAAAAAGGATCAGATGAAGGAGACGGTATTCGTGGTGCCAGAGCCAGACGAAGAAAACAAATCCACCTCCTTTTGTTAATCTCGGCAGAGACATGCAAATCTGGGATCTGGGGTGTGCTGGCATTCCAGGGAAAACCATTTAACCTTCACCTGGGCCTGTTGTGTGTTTCATCATCACCTTCTAACCCTCTACTCCCTGCTCAGTCTCCCCCTCAGCGCCGAGACCAGCCCAGAATGGGGAGCATGCAGGGAAATGGTTAAGGAATAACTGCCCCCGTTTTAAATGAAGACAAAATACATCAAAGAACAGACAAATGCCTCCAATTCTATCAATATTTATATCGTGGTCATTTAATTAAAAATGAACAACAATCACAACAGTTTAATTTTAGTTTAATCAGATTATTACATTATCTGATATTTATTAGTAGTAAATACCACAGTCATGTCCATGTTTGTGGCCCTGAATACAGAACTAATATAAATCTGTGTTCAGTTTAGTGCATTTTAAGCTTACCCGTGATCTACATTAGTGCTGTCATCACAATCAGCACTTTCACGCGTATCCATCCTTTCTAAATATGGACCACAAGCAGGCTTTCAGCCCAATATGTCATCAGCAAATCTCACAGAACACTCACATCAGTGTTTAACAAGCTACTGAGAGACATTTGGAAATATCGCTACAGACAAATGAAAGGACTTTCAAAACATCCACCTAAATTCGGAATATTCCCAGGTCAAATCATTTTAACCACAAAAACAGTATGTATAAACAGAAGGTAAATAAGCGGGTGGATATTGCAAGTGCAGGGAGGAAAGGAGGGGAGCTGTGTAGCTGTCAGAAGTGAACCAGCAGGGATGAAGGGGATGAAAAACAATGGAGGCACAGAGAGGGGAATGGAGAGAAGGGATACGGTACCTGCGATGGATGTGTTTTCCGTTCTCTCGCCGGGGGAAGAGCCCCTCCTAAGCAATGCAGATCTCAGCTGCGCTGCCCGCGTCTGTACATCTCAGCTCCAGCGAAGCAGAGGCAGTCAAAGGCATCCCCCCCTCTCAGTGCAGGAATGAAGGAAAGACAATGGGAACGACGTGTTCCTTTTTTTTCTCTCCTTTTTCCCCTTCTGTTCTCTTTCCTCAATGTGCCGTGGCCCCCCTTCTCAGCGTAAACCTCCCTCTCTCCTGAGCCTGAGAGGCAGAGGATGGTGTTTTTGAATCAGTGGGCAGCCAGCCTCCACAGCAGCCCTATAGCAGACGTCTCCGCTGTGGAGCAATGGAAGCATCACCACGGCGACGCAGAAGATCAGCATCCTCCCCCTCCAATCACTACCACTCAGGGCTTTCAATATTCATGAACTCAGTGAGCTGCGGATGTGAGGCCGCTTGGTACAGTAGCTGTACAGTGAGCCAGGCCTTGAAACGGTTCTGAGCAGCATCGTTAACCTTCCTAGCTGGAATTGGAATTGAACGGCTGTGTGGCATAATGTCTTCCCCTTTGTTTAATTCTCTGGAATGCATCTGTAGAGGTCATTTGCGTTTGCAAGACGGAACCACTGAACCACAGCAGAAAATACAGATGGCACCCCGCTGAGCACAATGGACCAGTTTTAAAAATAAACGGTTGACGGACTGACTCACTGTCTAACACTTTATAAGCACTATAGCTGAACGTCAAGACAAGCTGATAAACACATCCACATCATTTAGAAGTGGTTTCAGAAAGGGACTCCGTCCACAGTTCGAGTGAAGAACAGCTCAGCAATAAGATACTGTAACAAAACAGTGGGTAGTAAATAACTCGAGCTTTCTGTGGCATGTTTGTTCTTTTTAGCTGAACAAAAATGAATATTTTTAAACAATAACTTGAACAACTGCACAATACACTCCACACCCCACAGACATCTAGAATTCCATCCCTAACAGGCCAAATAGAGAGAAGCTCTATCTTAAGAAAAATTAATCCTACCCAGGAACCATATACAATTGCCTTCCGTAAAATAAATGAATGGGAAACCAATTTCCCTGTTTTCACAAAAATGGGAAAAAATGTTTTTAGCTTAAGGATTCCACAATACAGGCGTACATAAGGTTGCAAGTCCTCTTATACAAATGCTCAGGTTACTTATTCAGAATCTGGTTCCTGGTGTGTTTAGAAAAAGGGTCTCTCCCTGCCATATCTTTGGAGATGATGATAATGGTGAGACATGATCTTTGTTCTCCCTTCCTCTTCTTTCCTCTTTCCATCTCCTCTTTCCTTTCTTCCTTTCATTTCCTGTAATTATGCAGTGGTTCTTTCCAATGGAGTCTACCTCAATAATTTCCCTAGGAATGGCCCATTACTGTTGAATGTTTCAATCAATGAAGAACATCATCAGGAACCACTTTTGATCAGCTGTGTCCATTACTTTGTTTACTTGTCTTTTGGCCCCATGACAGCTAGGTAAACTCTGCCCCAAAAAAAAACTTGTTCAAAAAACCTTTGGAGTCGGGCAATCCAGCTGGAAAGTGAAAAAAGCTGGAAATGGAAAAGCATACCAGTAGAGCACTTCTCAGTGGCTATCGATTTAGCCAGCTCTTAAAAAAATGAAATGTCATTGGCAGATCGGTCATGTGAATAGCATGAGCTGCACACTACATTCTCTTTCTCCTTTTAACATGCATTTTCTGGTTCAGATTGTTGGGCGACAGCATTGGTGATCGTGCAATAGCATCTTTGGTGTAGCCAACTACTCAAACCACCCACAAAAAAGTACTTATTTCTGGTGCTTGTTGAGGCAATGTGGAACCTAGGCTAGAAATATGAGGTTCAAGAATGGACCGGTCTTCATGTTGCATGTTGCTCCTCGTCTGTACGTCTTTGTCTGTCTCGTGTTGTGGGCTTGTGGACATTGGATCGAGAATCTTTAAACACAGTCATCCTGGTTTCTCACTTTTCTCCCCCCTTCCCTATGGTCAGCGTTATAGGAGCATAAAGGCACAAACTTCCAGACTCAGAGACCGGTTTCTTCCCACAAGCTGTCAGATTACTGGACTCTACCCCTACCACTGGCTCACACTGAGGTTTTGTTTTTAAGTTGTGGGTTATTTAACTTGTTGTTGCTTCTTTTGCTGCTGTTCTGTGTTTGTTATTTTGGCGATTCCTTTTAATGTCTTTGTATTGGAGCACACATGCAAATAAGCATTTCATTGCACTCGTGCACATGACAATACACTGAACTGAACTGGATGGAATGTCAGTGCATTGCAGGAACATGGGGGCAATTCAGAAACACCAGTTATCATAGCTGGCATGTATTTGGTAGGTAGGATGAACCTAGGAGAGGTTCATACAGATGGTGCCCCTAGCTGCTGTCAAACCCCGGACCAAAAGCTCTAAGGCAGCACTGCTAATCACCCAGAGATCATGTCAGCCCTAATCAAGTCAGCTGTGCCACAATGCCGAGATGAAATGAGATTAGAAATCCAGTGTTATACAAAGTGACATGTAAAAACAGACAAAAGATATTGATATTCTAAATGTTAAGAAATGAATGGATGCCCTTCATCCTTTTCAGCCCTTGTGCAAACTTTCAAATCGGCAAGAAAGCACACACCTATCATGTTGTGGCATGAATGCAAATGGGCTGAAGATGCCCTAACCTAGCAAATGTAATGATTATTTTTACATTTAGATCTCATCTGATCGGAAGGATTTGCTTAATCCTTCACTAGACTTAATCTTTGACATGGTGGTGAAAATATATTGTATATTGTATATCGTGAGGTACTATGTCACCCTCTTTTTAAAGTAGCACAATGGTTAGCATTACAGCCTAACAGCACTGGGGCCCTGGGTTCAATTCTGGACCGGGGTTGCTGTCTGTGTGGAGTTTGTATGTTCTCCCTGTGTTTGCATGGGTTTCCTTCTATAGTCAAAAGACATGGTGGCAGATTATTTGGCTTCTGGGAACTGTGGTCCTGGTGTGAGTGTGCGTGTCTGTGTGTGCCCTGTGATGGACAGGCGTCCCATCCAGGGTGTGCCCTGCCTTGTGTAATTGGATTGAGTGGCTAGAAAATGAGTGGATGAATGGTATTTAAAAAGCCACATGATAAATGTGTAACTCTCTAGATAAAATACTATATTATATATCTAAAGTCCTATTAAAGTAGAAATATGAGAACCATCGTAACACATATGACTCAGTTGATTAGTGGGCTTTAAGTAAAGCCATCGGCTGTTAATTTTTTAGTTTTTAAAGTAATCTGAGTTATTGGTGAGGTATGTCGATTCATGGCACAGTGTGTTCTCTTAATTGTGCATATTTTAGTGCAATCACAGACTATCCTTACCTCTGACATTCGGTGACTGTAGCTCCACTTGCAGTTTTACCACTAATAAGGAGTGGTTTTATGCCTTTGTTGTATCTCAGTAACATTGAGAACAGCAAACAAGCACTTGTTTTTCTTATTTCGATTCATACATTATTCATGGATTTTTGACCTAGGCTGAAAGGTAGATTTATTTTCCACCATAAAACACCCGTTCTATGATGATAGATGTTGAGCTGATGTGTGTAAAGGTGAAGACCTTGTTTTATGTTAACTTAAGAACTTGGTTGCACTACACACCCATCATACCATCGATTTCATGAATTCTGAACTGAAAGAAATTGTTTCACTGGCTTCAGTGTGTCCTAGAACTGAAATATTGTACACAGATCTTCCTGCTCCTCAGTATTCTGGAACAGGGTGAATGCAAGGACACATTTAAGTATGCAGAGATAAACATATACATGTACGTGTATAAAGTATTCCCTGTATACAGAAAGGGAAATGCTGAAAATCATCTAATATTACTGTATATGAATTCAAATGAACATTTGTCTGAGTATTTACAATGAGATTTTTGACGTCTCAGGGAAGACAAATTATGTTAATGTATGGCACACAGCTGGTCTTAGGTCTACATCTGTATTCTGATGCTGATAGCTGAGCACACACTAAGGCATGCAATTCAATTTGACCTGAAGGCACGAAATGCGTAAAATATTGTAATGAATTCAATATGTTTTGCATGTACTGGATAGGAACAATTATCCAATTATATGAAAAGAGAAAATGTAACCCACCCAATGCGTCTTGTATTATTGCTGTGAGCATGTACTGATCAACTACACAGGACCTCATCACAACTACCTCTGCAATTACGGTCACCCATTGCTGTTTTGATTAGAGCTGGATGTCTGTATATTAATGGACTGCCCTTAGGTGGATATAAATGCACTTGCCTATTGTATGAGGATAGTCTGAGTGCTTATTAATCCAGCAGTGTAAACAGTACAGCGCAAACTGCATTAAAAAAATTGTTTGATTTGACTCCGCTGACATCAGAGGGGAGGCACTGGAGCTTTAAGAAAAATATGCAGTTGGACAGCAAACATAGAGCTTAAAAATGTAAATTGGGTTTGCTGAGCTATTACAGACCTCTGGATATCAGTGTCTTTCTCCAGGTGCTGCCCTGTTTTGGCCTTTGGCCTCATGCTGTAAAAGCACAAGCACAAGCCTGCAGCTGGTTTTGTTTGGTATGTTTTGGGAGAAATATTCATCTCCGCACCTTGGTTTGCATTGGGAACATGGGGAAGCCAGGAGCCAGGAGGAACGAGAGGAAGGACAGAGAAACAGGCTGATGAGCTGGAAGGGAGGGACTGGGCTACGAGCTCACAGCCAGAAATGACTTCATCTCTTCAGAGGCTTTCAGTTCACCTGCAGAGAGAGAGAGGAGTGAGGTGTGATGTAATCTTTTTCAAAACGAAAGACTGATTGTGAGCTTACCTCTAAACAAATAGACTAAACCAGGATGTGTAGATATTTAATTATTTAATTTCCAGGTAAAGGCGATGTTTTGAAAATGACGAAACGAGACCCCCGCTGTGTCTTGGCTGTTGGTTTTAGTGGGATTCACAGATTTAGATTTGATTACTAAATGGCCCTTTAATCACAATAACATACCTTCATAATGTGTGTGGATACCGGTATCAATTATTCATGCAGCTTACGAAGCAAGAATCAATTTCCCTGGATATTCAAAGGTTGACATCAAGGTGTTTGTTTCAGTGGGCCACTGTAATCATTTCTGTTAAGATATATTAAAATAATAAATATGGTCTTAACACTTCTTTTGAATAACAACTGGATTTCATTAGATTTCGGAATTGGAGCATGTCATATAGAATATGGAGAGCCTGTTTCAGAAAGTGATTGAGAGAGCATTCGGCAGAGCCTGACCTTTCAGACTCTGATGTAAATCACACTTCCTTCACAGATGAATGACCTGATTTATCTTAATAAGCCCACTCCCCTCACACACACACGTAAGCACTCACCACCCACCACAGAGAACACTCGAAGTGCTGGAGAGACCTCGTTGCTGTGGCAACGTGGCCTGCACTGGTGAATGCTGCACGTGAAGCGGTTGCCGTGGTAATTAGCAAAGGAAGAGGCTCAATGGAAAAAAGGAAGCAGCCGCATCTTGGTTCTCCGTCATCCTCTCAAGTTTCCGTCACCGAAAGAGATGGGTTTTGTGGGGGGGGGGGGATAAGTGTTATGTTTAAATGGCAAAATTTACCATTTTCTTCTTTTAGGCTGTTCAATTAAATGGCTTTTTCACTTGATGAACGACTGCCGTTGCACTGTAGAAAATCGCTGCTCCAGAGCTTGTAAATTGCCACCCTCCCCCCTGGTGTGTTCCAAGACCTGCTTATTTGATTTGACTTAAATTCAGGTTTGAATCCAGGCAGAGTGAACATTTGTTTTCAATTGCTCTTTCCATGCTAAAGAGCCACACACAACATTTACAACTCTTCCCTGCTGCTATAATCAATGTGGTATGAAGCCTCTCTTCGCTCCAAGTGATAAAGGATCTCGGACAAAACCAATTACTGGCAGATCAATACCAATAATCATTACATGCAGCCTTATGCATTTCTTCATCATGTACTTCAACCAGTATGTCTGTTTTTTTAATCAATGTGTTTTGTATCATCAAGGTTGTTTTTTTGTTATTGTTGTTGTTCAAGAGCACTTTTTTAAAAGACAACCGGGTCAGAATCAGATCATTTTAAATGTGAAACAGCGGCTTGCAGTAGGAATCTGGAGCCACGGAAATAAAAATAATAATAAACTTTATTTTATAAAGCGCCTTTAAAGGTGGATTCTCAAAGCGCTTTACAGGATGACAACAACAAAAAATAAAAAGAATACACAAGATAAAAACACAATTACAATATACAGAGGAGACCAAGATGGTGGTACTAAGAAAAGCAGAGGGGTGAAGTTAATTTAAATGTCATTTAACAAGTATTCTCCTCCTCGTGTTAGTGTGTCAATGGTGTGTTACATGTTATTTTTGCCCACTGAAGAGAGTCGTTACCAATGAATGGGATACTACAGATGAAATATATTGTGTGACAATATATTTGTCTTACCAAACATGGCCTTTTATTTACAGGCTGGTGACTCCTGCCCCAGACATGTCGGTTGAGAAGGCACATACTGTAGTGGTAGCCATAGTAACACAAGAACATAAAGTTAGAAATGAGAAGAAACTCTTTAAAACTAGTATGCTTGCAGGTAGCTTCATTACTGTGTCTTGATAAAAGCCAGGATAGAGGCCTAAACAGCACAGCAGGGTAGGTTGTTTCAAACTCCCGCAAGCCTTTTAAGTGAAGAGGAAAACCTTCCTGCAAATTCCTAGACATTAAAAACAGAGATGTTGATTGAAATCAGAAATTTTATTTTAGTGTGAAACCATTCTTATATCACAACTTGTTACTTTACAGGAAGCACTTTGTACAGTATGTCTGTCAAATAGAAATACTTCACCGTTATCATGGACAGAGCAAGTGTTCTAACAACCTGAAGAGTCTACTGGAGATAAGTAATTTTGTCACAAAGGTCATGAGCGATTTTTGAGAGCGTTAACTTTAAAACATTATCTTAAGGCTGCATGGATATTTTAAAATGATTTAGCCTACAATGAGTTAAGCTCCCTTCAAAATAGCAAGCTGTTTTTTTCCTTCTAATGCAATACCTTGTAAATTTGTCCCACAATTAATACATGAAGAAAACAAAAACAAACTGCTTGTCATTCATGATCTGCTGCATTAGAGATACTGAGATAAAGTCGGGTATTGACCTGAAATACACAAAACTAAAACCGCTTTGTTTAAATATTAAATGATAAAAACTGTTTGCAGAAGAAGACAGAGACCCTTAGATGGTGAGGTATCTATCAAAACAAAATACCAATTTCTTTCATAAACAAACGTATCACAACCCAGGAGAGGGCATGAGGTTGCATTATGAAAGATGGTGCCCATTTTTTCAGTTCTGAAGGTGACGTGCTGGATTTGACCTTGGGAGTGTCCTCAAGCTACAGAGGTTTATTGGTCCATCAACAGATTCCTTGAAACAATCATACGCATCACTTCATTGGTGCCTAAAAGAAAAAAAGAACCGTTGGGGATCAGAAAATTGATCCTTTAACATGGACCCAAAGCAGACTGATCAGGCCTGATGAACAACTATTGCACTGCTTTCTTCATATTAGCGAAATGGATGCAGGAACAGTAATATTAGACAAAGATTGTTTGGCACCATTGGAACATGTAGTAGAAGAAAATGAGCAGGTTAAAAGTAAGTTCTTAAGGAGCAGTTTAAAAAGAATGTTGTGCTGTAAGCAGTTGATAAATTTGGATATGCGCAATAGACCTTTTGAAGAACGTAAAAGCTCTTGGATTAATAAGGGATCCAAAATTTTCTGTTTTGCTTTATGTCATTTTCAGACATATTATTCTCCTAAAGTTAAATTGGTCTCGTCCAAAGTTCTGCAAGATCAAGATCAAGATCAAAATCAAGATCACATAGCAATCATTGGTTTTGCATGCAGTCATTTTTCATAAAATTGCTCATCATAGTCTTTCTCTTGATTTAAACTGTTCCCTTGAAGATTAGAAAGGCAGTGAAGCAAAACCAAAGGCAGGAAGGCATTATAACATCCGCCCAAAAGGGAAGTGGTTATTCACATTAAACACACTGGAAGCCTGCTCTGGCTTACACCAGTTACACCAGTTCAAACACATTGCATTCACGCACCTTCTAATATCTGATGCACTCTAATGTCCCGGACGAACTGCTGCACCGCATAATCCTTGAGGTAGCCATAGCCTCCGTGCATCTGTAGTGCTTGATTACAAATCTGCGTGGAGATGGGAAAAAGAAAAGGCAAGATCCTAAACCAGCAGGGTAAAACCTACAAACAGCGATGGGTGACTCACTGACCACTGATCTTTCTGTTCTTTCTTCTGTGCGGACAAGCAGATTTCGAATAAAAAAAATGATAGTTATGTCTGCCCTACAAACTTGATGAGAGGGATCTAGAAAAGTGAAGACTTTCTGGAGCCTGATACCCTTTGAAACACTGTCAAAAGGCTACATGCGAGTCATCACGGGCCTGAAAGAACATTGCCTTTGACGAGTCTCTTCAGCACTTGCTACTACACCCCCTGGGTAGAGCACGAGACCTGTCAGGCCTCCTCCTGACAGGCTCACCTGGAGAGCCCAGCAGCGCTCCAGACTCTGCAGGTTCTGTAACGCCTTACAGGAGCGTTCATGCCGGACGGAGAAGCAGAAGCAAATCTGCTCTCGGCGCACTGCGGCCTTCGTCCCGGCAAGCTCATCGCCCGCCCTTACCTAACCTAGCCAGTGGTGCCGTGCCGCGGACATGACTGGACTTCGGCAGATTCCCCGAACGCTGCCAGGTGTGGCCGCCAAAACTCACCCTGAAACACTCGTCGGTGGCAAAGAGCTTTGCCATGGAGCAGAGGGACACGGCGTCATCCCGGTCCTCCTGGAGGGCCGCCGCTGCCTGCCGCACCATGAGCCGCGAGGCCACCAGCTTGGTCGCCATCTCTGCCAGCCTGAACTGCAGGAACTGGAACCGGCAACAAGACACTGAGACTGGAGCAGAAGGAAGGTGACAGACGGCCGGGGGACATCGGGCTCATCGTACTGAGCTGAGGATCTCATTCGGCCACTCCTTGAAGTGAAACGGCTTCAACCACAGGGCTGGGCGGCTTGATCCAGCCCCTCAGCCATGCCTTGTGGGAAGAAGTACCTTCTTCAGGGCTAAAGGTAAACAGCCTTTTTTATTTATTCACTTTTCTAAAAGATTTCCAAATTTCCATTGACCCAAAACCCCAAAAATGTTGACCCGAAACATTATTCCTTCCTTCCTAATGGCAGGAAATGGGTAAACTAGATGGTTGTTATCGTTTTTGATTATATCACCTGTTGCTTATCATTTTTGTATCTCGCAACGACTAAATTCTCTTGGGGAAGCCTGGATAATTGAGCAAAAGTGGAAAAGGTTGTTAAAAGGCCCAGCCTGGGCCTTGTGTTGGACTTGTAGCCCAGCCTTGTGTCCTACACTTGACATTTTGTTTGCCTTTTGAAGTTCTCTTTTCTTCCTTCCTGCTAGACTAAACTAAGATTACCATGAACCGGGTGTAGAATAGTATAACGGGTCATTTCTACAACACATCTCTACATTACTGCTAAGCCACCCCTCCTTGTGAAAAATAAATGACACAAAGCTTCCTGCCGGGACCTTACGCGGATGTAACATAACATGGAACCTTTCAATGCAATAAGAAAGTCATGCTCCAGTATTCAGGCACTGGATGAAAAAGGAGGTTCTACACCACGGGTTATTTCGCTCTTCAGTATGAGTGACTGTGTCGTGTAGATATTAGTCAGTCTTGCCTGGCTGTTGGAGAGTGGTTCCCCAAACTGCTTACGCACTCTGAGGTGGTCTCGGGCCAGGAAGACACAGGCGTGGGCTGCCCCTAGCGAACAGGAAGCTGTGAGGAGTGCAAATGAAACAGGAGTTTAAAGACATACTGTATAGATGGACTTTAAAATGAGAGTGATCGTTTAGAGAAAAGAAGATTTGATCAAGCGGAAACGGCCTGTGGGTGGAGATGAGGTCGGCAGCAAGCTCACCGATGTTGATCCTTCCCCCATTCAGCCCCTTCATGGCGATGTTGAAGCCCTGGCCTTCCTCCCCCAGCCGGCTGGCTACGGGGACCGCGCAGTCCTCGAAGATCACCGCGCGGGTGGGCTGGGAGTTCCACCCCACCTGGGGAAGGCCATTTCAAAAACAGGACACGATGCGTGACTGCCCTGCTTAAGTCTGCACTTAAAACTTACTTAGATCCTTAGAAGGGCTTTCATTCTTTATTCTTTAAAAGTCCGCCTCCTGGTGGACACATTTCAATACTGCCTTCCTCGATACATCATGTAAAGGCCAATGAAAAATATCAGACTTATTTGATTTTTCTTTTGTTCTCCATTACTACCCATGTGGCTTTCTTTACTTAAAGTTGCAGGGTGATAGCCAGCCGCCATATCACCCTGCAACTCACAACTGGCAGCCCACTGAAGCTAAGCAGGTGTGAGCTGATGTGTGGTGAGCGTTCTGGCCCACTATGGCTGCCGTCGCATCATCCAGGTGGATGCAGCACATTGGTGGTGGAGGGGAGTCCCCATTACCTGTAAAGTGCTTTGAGTGGAGTGTCCAGAATAGTGCTATATAAGTACTTCTATATAAGTAATTAATTATTATTAAATTAAAGGATCGGCCTTTTACACGTGGAAAGAATTCCGCCCTCAGAGCAATTACTCTTAAGAGGCAGCTTCAATGCCCCAGTATGAAGAAACGCCACAAGCAGATGAAGGGTTGCTTCCCCCCCCCCGGAGTCACGAAACACGATTACCTTCTTTTCTTTTTTGCCAAAGCTGAGTCCCGGTGCTCCTTTCTCCACCACAAGGCAGGATATTCCCTTTGCTCCCTTCCCCCCAGTCCGACACATGACCACGTACACGTCCGTATCGCCGCCCCCGCTGATGAAGGCCTGACAGCGGGATGACAAAGAAACTTCCGTCTGAACTCCGTACACTTCACCCAGGCGCTTACAGCTCTCCCCTTTGCTGTGGCATTAAAAAAACGTCAAGCTCTCTGGGAATCGTCTTAGCCGGACATTAGCAAGAACTACGCAACCAGTAACCCACGCGGCTCACACGTGAGGTTAAAACGGGCAGGTCACAAAATTGGACTGGTTTAGATGTTCTCGTTACGTCCCTTCAACTCCTTTAAGGGTGTCTGATGTTCTGTTTCAGAGCTCCCCCTGACCGTAGCTGCGGTGGATAATGTTATTTTAGAGTTACCCCGAATCAAGATGGACAGCTCGGGTAGGAAAAGGCTCGAGCTGCCCGAGCTGCTTCGCCTGCTGTTGAAAGGGCTTACCCCACTACGTACTGTACCTTAGAGCCGTTTAGGATATAATGATCACCTTCCAGTTTCGCTGTTGTCAGTAATGAAGCTGCATCACTTCCACTGCCTGTGGAATGTACAGAACTGTTATTTCTAAGTCGCCCAGTGAAAGCATGCTCTGGGTCTCATAATATTAGCAAATGAATGAACTGGATATACAACAGACTACACTGGAGGGACACACTGTGAGCAGGTCAGCTCATGACTGATAGCTCTGCGAATCCCTGAATATGAAAACAGAGCTGGTGCTGCACGTAACGGAAGAACACACTTCGTGTCCATAACACCCAATAAGCAATAAGTAGATCTTCAAACAATGGAAACGTCTTTAGCAGATGGTATGTTCTCGGTGGTGAATTCGTCCTAAACTGCTTATCTTACTGGGATTTGGTACAGTCTCATCTGGTTTTAACACATTTTGATATTTCTATCCTTTGTAGAAAGATGAATGAATTAACTAAGCAGTACACCTGCGTTAGACAGACCTGGCTCCGTCAGGCAGTAGGAAGCAAATTTTTCCATGGTGCACAGCGCAGGACAGTACTTGTGCCTCTGCTCGTCATTCCCGAAGGTATCGATCATCCAGGCACACATGCTGTGTTAACGAGACAAGAGTGGATTGAGAACAAGCTGACTGAACAGTTCTGTTTCCTTTTGGTCAGGAGTTCTTTGAATCAAAAAGTTAGGCCTTCTAGAAAAGAACATCTGCCCACTCATGAATCTCTATTACAGTACACAGCTGCTAGTGCACAGGGTGCTGGACCATTGGGACCAGTCCAGGTGTTTAAAGAGACCAACCAACTATAGGGCATCCTGTAAGTTCAATGTAAATTACTTCAGCAGAGTGCGTTAAACACGATACCAATGCAGACTTGCATTCAAGAACAGTTTATTTCACACAAAAGCAAATTTAAAGGCATGGTATTGAAAATGAACCATCCAATTAATGCAGGATTGTGGGGGGAGCGGGATCCTATCCCGGCAAGCAACAGGTGCAAGGCAGGATACCAGTCCATCACAGACACAGACCCACACCGGGGCCAAATTTCCTAGAAGCCAATTCACCTACCAGTATGTGTCTGAACTGTGGGAAGAAACCAGGGCAGCCAGAAGAAAAGCCATGAGCACAAGGGGAGAGCATACAAACTCCACACAGACAGCCCCCAGGTCCAGAATTAAACCCCGGTCCCTGGGCCGTGAGGCAGCCATGCAGACCACTCTTCCACCCTTCTGAAACTGACGTCAATCCAAAATGGCTTTAAAAGTGCCTTATCCCCCCCCCCCCCCCGTGTCCAACAGAACCACACAGAGGAAGGGAGCGGGCCTTTCTCTCTTACTTGTGAATGCTCATGTAGGCGGTCGTGCTGACGCAGCCCGTGGACAGGGCCTCAAAGATGACGGAGGTGTCGAGCCGAGTCAGGCCCGAGCCGCCCACATCGGGCCGAACGTAGATTCCCCCAAAACCCAGCTGGGCAGCACTCCTCATGGTGTCCACTGGAAATATTTCCTGACATTGGGGGGGGGGGATAAGAACGCGTGAGCACTTTGGTGCGATGCGCTTCTGTGGTGCTGACTTCATGCTGCGCTGTCTTGTGAATTATTTCAGGCGCTGTGAAGGACGGCCAGCGACTTCCATATCTACCTTTTCGTCCCATTCTGCCATGTGTGGCGCCATTTCATTGGCAGCGAAATCAAAGGCCACTTTCTGAAACTCCTTTTGTTCATCAGTGAGACCCAGGCTGGCTGGAAAGAAGAAAAAGAGAGGAACTTTTACAGCCGGCGACACAGGACACCGCCTTATTGGACTGCAATGCTATCCAGTCAGACAACTGGTATGTATAAAATACTGGTTCCCGTAGGAATTTAGGCTATATATCTTGTACATTCGAATGTCGGTTCACTTCTGGGGGAAAAAAAATAATTCAAGGCACATCTTTTTAGACGAGGAAGAAAATCTCTTGACGAGAATGCAAAAAAAATATAGGAATGATTTTTTGTCCGGAAGGATAACATTGTCATAACCTGACGTTTTTATGTTATATACAGTTAGCAAGCAAAGCAAATAAGGCAATTCCATAACACAGCTCCACTAACACATGACTTGTGTTTTTAACGCAAGGATCTGAGGTTGGTGATGTTGATGTAAATCACGCAAACAAGTCACTGTGTGAAGCAAAACAGGAAAAAAAAAACCTTTTTTTTTGCCAAGGTCAACATCCGCTAGAAACAGCAACATAGTCGAAATAAGAACATGTACATTTTAACGTATTAGCAAACAAATGATGATAACTGGATTTTGTTGATCATAATACACGCACCACTGTATAAAATGCGAAATGAACAATGTCAGTAGAGCAGGAGTTACTGTAAACTGCGGCCAATGGGAATACTGAAATAACACCTTCATAGCGAATATTTAAAAAATTACGAACGAACAATTTAAGAAATCGCTGGAATAATCCAGTTAATTCTCTTTCCTCATATCAGTTCTGTTCTGTAATATCTGTTGAAATCTGCAGGACAATTAAAAAAAAGTTATGTAAAATATATTAATAAGAGATAAACGTCTATCCATAAAGTAAGGAGTGCAAGAAGTCAGGGCAAAATTGTTTTAGGAACCCTGGAAAAATGACGTTAAAAGCTCTGCATCTAAGCAACAACTGAAGACCATCAGGAATACATTAATCGACAACGATTGTAGAGAGGGGTGGTATAAATATGTAAGATCAATCGATCGCATATTTAGGCTGAGAACACGATGCAATGAAATAATAACCCAGCTTTTCAACTCCTAAAACAAAGGTTAAATGACGATTGACACTTGGCTTGCATTCCAAGCAGCAGTAAAATACAGTACCATCTGTCAAACTGTAAAAAAACACTTCATGGTAACAATGACCGAATCGTTCCTGATTTGTATAATGCAACAGGAGAGAGGACAGTGAGATGGGACGTCAGCAGGCGCAGTAGCTGAAACTTACGATCAATGCAAGATACTACACTTCGTCTGTGTATCCTGTTTAATATTAATCGACGCGTTCTGCAAACACACGACCCAAGCCTGGGCAAGAGCCCGAAAGTCCGAGTCACTGCCAACGCCATGACCGCTACAACGTGTCTGTGCGTCTAGAACATAGAAAGACACCGACATGAACATAAGGGTTTCTGGGTAATTGTAGTTTATTTTTATTTTTTGCAGCCTTCCTAAACTACAACTACGGCTGCCTGCAAGCCGTGCCAGTGGAAATCTTTCAGGACTAGAGATTTCCACCCAGTAACCACGCATTTGTATGGCAGAGGCAAACGTAAAACGTATCAAGTGGTTCCAGTCGTTAAACCTGCACCTACATTTATTTATTTTAATTGTCGTGCTCTTTAGTGTCGCGCAATCTCCAGATCACGTGGCGGTGCACACCTGATTTGGAAGTTCGGCGGCTGTTGCGTGATAAGCGCAGGTAGGGCGAAAGCGAGTGTTGTGTTGAGTAATGCAATGGTTGAAACATGTTGTTTCCTCGTAGGTTATAAGAAAAAAAATACATCACGTGTACAATTGTGCAAGCCGGGTAGGAACAGTAGCAACACCGGGTCTAATTCCCCAGTGTCAGGAAATTGATCAAAACGTTGACGCTTACCCATTACTGTTAGAAATGCAGTGTGTTGTGTACTTCTTGCGTGTGAAGGGTGATTTTCTGTTAAATAGATTTCTGCCGAAGGTGTTGCAATCTCTTTTTTTTTTGGCGTTGTGAGCTGGAGAAATATAGGATTAAAAAATAAAGGATTTGGCCTATATTTAAATAAATTCCACGTACAGTGCTTACAGATTGTTTGAATAGCAGAAGTACAGACGTGAACGGATGGCGAGCTGCCGTCTGTCGTGTTGCACAGTAGTCTCAAATAAAGCTGCATGGAATTAGAGAAGTGGTTACATGAACCAAGCCATTTTTGTCAGTTTAAACAGCCACTTTTCCTTCTGCCATAGAAACTGCCAAAGGATGCCTCCTAAAAAGAGAACACGAGGCACGACAGTAAAATCAAGTAAGTGTCCAGACTGTACGATCCGAGATATATTAATATGTGACACATTGCAGACGCCTGATGATGAAATATATAATTGCATGCAAATAGATAGAAATCTCTGATGAGGATAACAATTGCCAGTACATTAGTAACATCAATTATATGACTTGTGATTCTATGACAGTAATTCGTTTCAGAAGTTACAGTATGAGCTGCTTTTCTAAGCGCACTGCGTGTTTCTCATAACTGATAAAGGTAATTCCCTTAAAGAATAACCAGGCCATATTTCAGGAAATATTAGGAATAGACAATTCCCATTTTGGATTTTAACACAAAATCATTTTTGCTAATGTAATTCTAATTTTCATCTAACTTCAATACATGTGAGGGTGTTGGTGTGTTCAGTGGCGTGTTGATAAGGGGTATTTGTTATTATAAGATTAATATACCCTCATCTGCCTTTTCCCAAACAAATGTTAGAGGTGTGAAAGTCACTTTGTAGTTGTCTGGGTGGCAGCATCTCTCTGAGGTCAGTAGGAGAGTCAATTAAATGAAAATTATCCCAAAAGACTTCCTGGTGGAAGTGTATGTGCCTAACATCATACCCAGTCACCATTTTTCTTTTCAACTTCCAATTCTTGTCTCTGTCCCTTTTTTCCCCATTTTGATACGATTGTATATTTGGACACAAGAGAAGACCAAAACAATCAAGACCAGAAGCTCCCACTAACGAAACCAATTCTGCTGTATCCAACAGCTGTCGATTCATTTCTTTTCTTAAATGAACTCCTAATCAAAACATGTAACATCTGAAAAATGTTTAAAAATTTCTGTTCTGTATGGTAAATCGCCTCGCCTACTGAAGGTCCCATTTTCTGCACGCAGAACATGAAGAGCCAGCTGCTAAATTAGCAAAGAAGGACGATGATGAAAAAGACTCCTCCGGAAAGGGTGCTAAGGGAGCACCAAGGAGAAGAGGAAAGCCGGAAGCAGGGAATTCTGGGATGCAGGAGGACAAGGGTGCAGCAGCAGCCCCCGCTGGTAAAGAGGTCTACTGCCATTGGCTGATGAAGTCGGAACCAGAGAGCCGGATCGAAAAAGGGGTGGATGTGAAGGTAAGAAAAACTTCACTGGGAACATTCTCTACTCTCCATAAGCTCCATAAAGTTCATAAAGCTTTCCCGTGGACGTCTAAGACCCTGAGTCATTATTCAAGTGCGGGTGTAAATACTGACACCCTGTGAAGTTAAAAAGCTAATTTCGCTATAATGTCTTAACATGTTGCCACGGTGAACGTGTTCCCTAAACATTGGTAAAATGTCACTGGAAAAATAAGTATCATTTATTTTTTATAGGGATATTAATGGGTAACATTTGCAGATATAGGATGTTAACAAGGGCAGCATGGAGGCCCAGTGGCCAGCACCAGGTCCTGGGGTGCTGTCTGCGTGGAGTTTGCACACTCTCCCTGCTGTGTGGACTTCCTCCGGGTGCTGGTCAGGACAGGCTGCGCCCCCCACGCCCACCCTGTACTGGATGAAGGGGTTAGAAAATGGATCTTAACAGTACCCCTGGAACTGCATACATAACAGAAAACGTTTTGCTGTCATTTAAAAGATGATCTAAATAGCAAGGCTATTTTATATTTTTTTGCTGCACATTTCAAGTATTTTGTTTTGAACGCTGCAGTTTGGAATCGAGGACCTGAAGGCTCTGCCCAAACAGACCGGTTGCTGGGATGGAGTTCGCAACTACCAGGTAGCTTTGCGTGCAGCACCCACTAGGCGTGTCAGAAAAAAGAAAAACAAAATATACACTGAAAATAACCTGCAGCTGTATCCTGTTTCACACAACGATACTGGAGACATCATTCTATTTCCCTGCGCTTGTGGCAATACAGGGCTATAACAAAACTCACTTTGTTGATAGTACTGCCTTGTGGCTGATGAAAATTTCAGTTCCACTTACACACAAATAATCGGTTTCATATCAAATTACCTTTGATAAAGGCCGGAGCGGTGGCCATGTGGCTCAGGATCTGCGCCTGTGACTGGAAGGTTGCCGGTTCAAATCCCGCGGCCGGCAGAGGAATCCTACTCCGTTGGGCCCCTGAGCGAGGCCCTTAACCCCAGCTGCTCCAGGGGCGCCGTATAAATGCCTGTGTGTCTCAATGAGAGTAAGCTGGGGGTAAAAGACAAATTAATCCAAGAAATTGTATATGGCCAATAAAGTGATATCTCCCTTGTTTCAAAGTAGGTAATTGCAACATTGCTTGCATGTCTAGGTAATTTCTTACTGCAAAGAAGTATCCAGGGCTGTAAAACCCATAGAAGTAATTGTCCTGTAGAAAGGATGTTGCAAATTTTTATTTTAAAGATTTGTGTTTCTCCTTGTGAATCCATGAGATCTCTTTAAAACTTCTTCTGTTACTGTACGTCCATCCACCATGTTTTTAAAATTCTTTACTTAATCACTGAATTCAGTAAAAGCCAAGGCATGTACTTTACATGCGCATTTTCTGTATTTCCACTAGAGAGTTTTTTCTTTTTTTACGGTATTGGTTATGGATACTGACCTTTGAAATTCAAACAATAAAGCTTTACACAAAAAAAAAACGAATGGCTTTTCCCAATAAATCTTTGCTACATTCGCCAGGCTCGTAACTTCATGAAGGACATGAAAGTGGGGCACGAGGCTTTTTTCTACCACAGCAACTGTAAGGAGCCTGGGATCGCAGGACTCATGAAGGCGGGTTTGATATTTTTATTTTCTTCCTTGCACCCATCAGAATCCTGCATTTTTAAGTGTTTTTTTCCCCCTTAAGGACTTGTATACGTCCGAAAGCCGCAGTTAAGAGTCCGTTCTGGCGTTCTTACGTGTACAAATGTCCGTGCTTCATTTCCTAAGATTGTCAAGGAGGCCTATGTGGACCACACCCAGTTTGACAAGAAGGATGCCCACTATGACCCATCCAGCAAAAAGGACAACCCAAAGTGGTACATGGTGAGTACATAGCTGTCCTTTATTGGGGTGCGATCCGGTATCCCCCATAAAGATTGCTGATTAAAAGTGCTTTATCCTAGGTTTCTACTAAAATTCCTTTTAAAATCTCCAATTATAACGGGTGTCCCTTCATTCTGAAAACAGGGCCGGTCCCAAAACCCATATCTTTTTTAACTAGGGGGTACCTTTCTTGAGCTACTCATGTTGCTCTCACGCCCAAGGAGCACTTTACAGGGGAAAGAAAAATAAGGGGAAATTTTCTCTGAGGGTTATCCGGAACTGAAAATGGGCCCCCCCTCGAACTTAAACTGGCTTTGGAAAAGCTTGTTTTTAAATAATTTTTCTTGAACTGCAGGCTTACTTCAGTGTTTTGTTTTGTTTGACGTTTCTTGCGCGGCCTTACAGGTGGATGTGCAGTTTGACAGAATGACCAAGAGGTTCATCCCCCTGTCTGAGCTGAAGAAATATCACCAACAGCACAAATCTAACGGTGGCGTGCTAAAAGGCTTGGCCCTCTTCACCAGAGCCAGGCTTTCTGTGCAGCCTCTCTCCAAAGGTGAGTGTGTGAGGCTCTGGGAGTCCAGCTGTGTGTGACCATGTTTGACTACTGACAACGGTTTTTGCTTGGGTCTTCTTAGCCTCATTTTATTTAAGCCTGATCTGTTGACAAACAGCGAAGAACAAAAAAAAGTAGTGAATATCACTGTATTTTGCTGTATCTTCTGAGCAGAAATCCTTTAGGTTGATTGTGTACAGTATGTGAAGGCACTTCGTAATGACTTTCGTCCTTGAAATAAAAAAACAACAACCATACAAATACTTCAGGGCTGAAAATTGGAGCTCATACCGTGTGTCTAAAGAAGCTGCAGTGTTTTGCGTTTTAATTTACAGTGTAGGTATGGAATGGCTGTTATAGATCTGTATTCTACAGTTTTCCTCTCGTCAATTCTGATTTTCAGAAGAGTTTGACTTTGTCCTGAGCTTGGAAGACAAAGAACCGATTTAAAGACTTAACGTGCTGGTGTTGGAAGGTCTCCAGGACAGTCTGATTGACGAGGTCATGGGACACAAGGACATCAGGTGAAGACAAATCATTCTTTGCATGAGAATAAATCTCTGCTCACAGTTTCATCTTGGGATACTATAATATGTTGCAAGCCTGGATTTACGCTTATTTCTTCAGTATTGTTAACAGAAACAATCTGCTTTGTTTTTTTCATCATTAAGTAACAACAGGGATGAATTGTTTAATTTCTTCCATTGTTTCTCATATGAATAACAGAATGAGATTCTATAGCTTGTAACAAGGTGGTGGTGGAAAAATATTTATTGGTTTGGACAGACTGTTTCTAATTTAGTAATGTTGGTGACAATCTGTCCTAAATAATGCATTGAGGGTAAAAGAGAAATAGTCCACAGGATTTCATGCCTACGCTATAGTGAGTTTTCCATCCTGTCCTTGTAGTCTTTTTTTTTAAGCAGCAGCCTATATTAATATTTGTTTTTAAAAAAAAAATGAACAGCACCTCAGTTGTGAATAATTCAAAACTTCTTTAGTGTTTTTCATTCTTTTGTAATTTATGTACCGTTTTAATTCACTTGTAAAGACCACAGAGATGGTTTTGTGCCCAGCCCTTGTCATTAAAAACCATTTGGCCATTTTTTGTGATGTTATTGCGTTGGACAAGAGGGAGATCCTTGTCAGAACTACATTCCCCATAATGCTGTGGGGGAATGAGACACTGCCCTCAGTTGCTTAGCCAGTTCTGACCAATTGATCAGGTGAGAACTTAAAAAACCAGGAAGATGAGGACAGAGGGCAGAACCTTTGTGGTGCAGAATCAACCAAGGAAGAAGTCTTTGGACGTGACCAACGTACCAACGAAGAACCGTGTGGGTTAGGGTGAGTAACTTGTGGAGTTTTGTGCATTGTCCGAGCGACATGTATTTGGAAGCTGTTTGGGAAGCCAGTAGTGAAAGACTTTGGGTATCTGGGGCAGAAGCTCAAAGAGGACCCATGTTTTTGTTTTGTGGTATTTTTATTCCTCACACTGTGAATAAAAAGCCCTGGTTTTATATCTTACACCTGCAGTCTGTCCTTGGCCAGCCTAGTTGAAAGATCCATTATGGCACCCGAAGCATATTGTGTCACAGTAGGAATATATTTCAGGGCGAATAGAATATAAAGTAGTCTAACAAACCCATCTTTTGGTTAAGTAGTGAGAGCAGTCCAACCTTGCTGTGACGTTTGAGTACTATAATATAGTTACACTTTATTAAGCCTAGCACATTAGCTGTTAGGACTCCAGAATGCATAGGTGACAGATGAAAGCTGTTTACTTTCTTAAATTTGGAAAAGCTATTAATTTAACAAAATGAATAGTGGCAAACTGACATCTTGTGATCTTTAAAGCTTGGGCAGACGAGATAAAAAATGAACTAAAGCTAATCCATTAGATTTGGTCACCCAGCAAGAAAGTAAATTGGAATTACTGACAGAAGTGGTGAATGTGAGGATGTTCCCTAATTTTTACTTAGTCAGCGCTCTGAGAGGAACCTGGAGAGATGGGTTATGGTCTTATTTTTGCACGAGTGAACTGCAAAGGCAGGTGGTGGTGAAAATTCAGAATGAATGCACATGCTTTTTTTTGCCAGATTCGATTATAATAATTTCTAAATCCATCTTCTTCTGGTAAAGTCCTGGGTAATAAGATATAAAGATGAATCTTTAAGCAAGAAAGTTCAACCCACCATGCTTATTTCATTGTTCAAAAACAGTAAAGAAGCACAAAGCAAAACAGGAAGATGGCAAACCACTCCAAGAAAAAGGCTCTTAAGGTAGCTCTCTTTTAATCAGAGAAATAGGATTAAAAACAAATTTAAAATACAGAAATGCATAATACAACTATTTAAGAAAGAAACCAGTAATCAATGTACTTTAATATCCCGTATTAACATCTATACGTTTATTACCATATACTCTTTATTTTTGTGCTGAAAATGTACAAATTCCCTTTCACAAACAGGCTAGTACCTTACGACTTACTATGAAAAGAAATATAGTTAAGATCTATTTTGAATCGTATATATACCTACAACTCTGTAAATATATATTATGTGATTACATTTGTAAAAGGAATGTTGTCTCTATCGCCATTTTAATGGTCTATTTTTCTCTGTTAGCACGAGAATGTTAAGGGACTGAACTGCATCCCCTTAGAAAGCACAGAAAAAATTAGTTTTTAAGGACAGAATTCAGTTAATAGTACATAAACACACACAAGCTGCATAACTCCAGATGTGAGCTAGCAAAAACGTACATCTGAATTGAGTTCACAAAACCTTTCCAGGTGGAAAGATGGTTGCTTTTTTTTGCCATATGACCTGTTCACAAACAGCTTGCACACAAGGAAATTAAAACCTATGTAAACCTCTTCTAGTGCTTTAAAATGTGCACCAGAGAATATAAGTGCTGCTTACATTTCAGTCTTCGCGTATTTAAAATTTAGCATGATGTTAGAAGATAGCACACATAGAAACTAGGCATTCATGTAAGCAAGCAGTATTTGACACACTTTCCATGTTATAAACTGTCACTATTCAGGTAGCACTGAGTCCTAAAGGTCAGAACCCTTTTATGGTTCAGACTGTGCTGCTTGCCAAGTTATTTGAACATTTCTCCAACCCTTCGGAACCTGTGAAATAGGTGAAATAGAGCTCGAGAGAGTAAATGATATCTACAGGTCTGCTGATCTTTAGTGCCCATCATGCTTCCTGCTTGTGATGTAATGTCACTTCAGGGTGGTTAGACGACAGTAGTCGTGGCCAAGAGTGTTACGCAACGATACAGTCTCCATCGTTACTGTTACTTTTTATATATCACTGCTAACAGCTGAATAAACCATTTTGAGAAACTTTTTCAAACCATCTAGCCATCGTGACCTCTGCAAAAAGCCAGCGTATGCGTCTTAAGGGACAGAATTAAAAAAGGAACAACATATTCTGCTTATGTCCTGTTGACCTTGTTAGATAAATAATCCACAGAAGACTGTTTTCTGTATCATTTATGCTTTCTTTAAAAAAGGTTGGCAGAATGACGCTCAAGTCTTGAAATAGTACAACACAGGATGGTAAAAAGGGACACTATACGCTATAGTATAAACCAATTAGAGGCATTGGACTCAACACATGATTTTTGGCAGATGCTTACACTGATAGGCACAATGTCAGGATAAAAAATAAAATAAAGGAGTGTATTTGTATTACACCTTAAAGAAGTGTCGGAGCCTTCAGGTTCATAATCCCATGCAGTTTACAAGCAACGAAAGCAGCTATTGTTCATTCCACAAGAAAGCAAATTGCTGTAAATTACTCCTGGTTTAAAAGTTAACTTTCAGCATGTAGCAGAAAAGCAGCATTGTGGCAGTAGTAAGAATTGTGATGACAGTTTAATAAAATCTGGGCTTTCCAGCTGCTAGTATTCAGGGAAATACTGTGAGGCTTTTGCTATCTTGGTTATATTACGCTTAGATTTTCTGTTATAACACTGACATTTATTATGGTGGAGGGGGATGTATCTTGTAATTTAAAGAGGAATGAGGCGTATATACAGTATAATGTACAAAGATCCATCTACTGTTACCATAGTTCCGAATTGTTTTTTGAAAATGTAAGAGCTATGCCTCCCCAAATGGTTTTCTCTTCATTTTTTCATTCCTTCTGTTCCCTGATACACACATGTAAACTTCAATAATTACAAGACAAAGAGATGACCGCTTGCTTGGTCGTTTTTCCTGCTTGCAGACAAACGCTGTTTAAGATAAAAGTTCTTAAACAAGAAGGTGACAGGCTGTACTCTGGATCCCCTTGTGCAAGCTCAACCCCTGATTTGTGTGCTCTCTGCCTTATAGCCCTGCAATTTATCAGCAGCTGCACTTGATTTTCACAAAGTGTATTTTGATCTGATAAACAGGAAAAGCATTCCCCCATCCAGCCTCGACAGCTGCACTGTAATTTACTTTTATTTTCAGATTTCCTCTTTCAGATTGTGACGTCTGTATCTCGGAGACAGCTTCAGTCTGGATTTTTCTTTGGAATGAACAACAAACCCCCACTAACACAGCTGATAGCAGTACAGTACGCCCCCCCACCTGAGCGTGCAGTTCTTCAGCACTGCATTTCTCAGACTGTAGGCTACCCCATCCCCCATGTGATGCCTGTGAGCAATGGAAGGTACAGAGGTTAAGTAAAGGAAATGTCGGGTGTATTCTGCAAAGCACGGTATTTCTTGTATGAAGCTTCGGTGGTGGCATAGCCTTTTAAAAAAAGTAGATCGTGCCATGTAAATGTGATATTTTTTTGTCGTTTGGGGTTCCAAAGTACACATCATCTCCCGGAAGTCTGCTTTATACTCCTCCCTTTCTGATCCCTTCTTTTATCTGCTGTAATGAAAGGAGAAGGTTCTCTAGCCGGTGTTGTTGGTGGGTTGTCAGGCTGCAACACATCCTCCCTGCCGCCTCTAGACTACGCACTCACTCACACGCACACATCCAGTCTCTCGTTTTCGGAGGCGCCGGGGGGTGCGGACGCGCGCGTTAGTCGTCTTCCTCCTTGGCCTGGGCAGGCACCTTGTTCTCTGGGTTGGCCGAGCCCTCGAAGCGCTGCGAGGCGATGGCGGCCTGGTGAGACATGCTCTTCCTCACGATGTCCCCTTTCCTCCAGAGCGTGATCTCCTGGAAAAAGCCAGAACCGGCTGCTGACTGGCCCCTTTGGAGGTAGTGTTCCACCCTGCGTTCTCTCTCTGTTACCACATTGTTGCTTCAATTCCAGTATAAAAAGTAATGCTGGTCTAAAGTTTTAACGTATAATACACAACTGTAAACACTACTCATCTCGAACGTAACCATTGCTTTGGTTTTTCTGGAACGGGGTTCTGGAACAGAGATCGCTTCGACTAACTACTGATACACCCCGTGTCCTGAAGCAAAAGGACTCTGAGGTAAACGAAAATGAATAAAATATGACATTATCAAAGATTTCTTCTCTAAAAACAAGCAGACAAAAGAATAATTAACTTCTCGCCTGGCTATTAGATGTCTAACTTTCCCAAAAAAAACAACAGGTAATAATAGAGCACACGGACGCACAGCGCTGGAGGCACAATGATGGAACGGCCTTGTAAGCAGTCGTGTTTTTTTTTCTACCTGCTGTTTGAAGTAGCGCCTCTCCTCTTCGTCTATGAGGACCAAGTTGAGGTAGTACCGCACGGAGAACTTCTTGTTAATGTCGCGCATGGTGGGGGTCAGCTCATAGCCTGCCAGGAACAGTCTGATGGGGATGGACTCTCCTGCGCACACAGGAAACACACATCTGAATAGCTCCATGGAAATTTTCTCTTTTCTTTCCGTCTTGTAGTCGTCAAAGAGTTCCTCACTGGTATGCTTCGCGGAGCAAATCGGTATATATGCTACTTTCGTTCTGTCCGCAGGTGAAACGGGCATCAGGCTCGTGAACACGATCAATGACAGCAATACCAAGGCAGAAATCTTGAGGAATTTGAAATTGGAGGACCAGAGGGACACATTAAGGGTAAGCAAGGCAATGCGTGTTTTTATGTCTGGTTTTCTCAAGGGAACTCAGAAGTGCTTTACACAGAGTATGGGGCACGCAAGCATTTAACAAATTTGCAGTACTCAGACGGGTGCCACATGGCAGTCATTAAACACCAGCAGTCCCACTACACATCCGTTCAAGCAGAGAAGGGAGAATTTGCTTTGCCAATTGAATTAAGGGGAACTTTAGGAGGCCTAGAATGTACTAGCCCAGAATCGAATTCAGGTTCAGATCCCTACTCTTTTAAAAAGCACCATATGATCTTTAATGACCTGGGCCTTGTGCTCCGTACCACTGTAAATCTTTCTTCCCACTATACACTGTATCCAGTATCCAGTATTTCAGAGCTTGTATCTGATTTATAGCCTGAGGGGACATGGAATGGACACACTAGAGGTGAAGTTATTATGGAATATAATTCTGAGCTCAATTAGAAAAGACAATCTTTAAGCTCCTTGTTTTAATGAGTGATACTTACTGCACTGCCACTCCGACTTGTTCTCTTTATCATGGCACATTTGTGACTCAAGCCACACAGCATTTAATGTGTAAGCTACTAAAAATTAATTATTAACATACATCATTGTTTACCTCTTAGCCTTTTTTTTATGGCACCTGCAAATGTTTCAGTTCCAAAGGAGTGTTGCTGGTAAAATACTGAAATGCCTTTGTGTTTAAGACCTGAGTTAAGTTGAATTTATATTCAATACAGTGTTATTAAGACAACACAGACTACATTACTTCCATGCAATGCACACCAATTTAAGAGATAACTCAATATCACGAACTGGTGATCCCCGTGTCTGCTGGTTTTTGATGCAGCTGATGTCTTTATTATGCAGTTGAACTATTTACTGAAATTCAAACTTTTCAGTTCATAAAATGTTACAGGATTGGAGTGTTGCAGGATTACTAGCCAATTAAGTTTTGTAAAAATAAGTTTTAGCAGCTGGAGAGGGTGACAAATGCCGAGTTAAATCATTTGTTTTAATCAAACAACAGAGAGATGAGCTGGAACACAGCACCAGAAAGTATTCAGCATTGGTATAAAATGAAGAATAATCTTAAAAAGCTCAATACTTATATATTCTAATGCTTTTATTGAATATAATATATATTTAATATGTACTGTATACTATATTACATGAATTGCATGCCTATTGAGCAATATTTGATATTACTTATAATATTAAGCGATAATTACTTAATAGGCATGCAATATGAACATTTTAGTCATGTGAAAACAGTAGATACGTACCTCTCACTGGTGCCCCATCCATGATCTCGTATTTGGCTATGGTATCGTTTTCGTGGTACACGCTCGGACCCGTGCCCGTTGTTTCCCGTTTGATGATGTCAATTTCCATGTGCTTGATCTTAATCCGGACCAGCAGGAAATAAATCTTCCCCACTATGACGTCTTTTAGGTGGTACCTAGGGTTTTCACGAACACACTTCTTAATGACGGTTTCTTGGTATTCCCAAGAAAGATTTTTATTCAACAAAGACAAAAAAAAGAAGAGCTTGTTTGCCGAGCTTCTGAGCCTCTGCTAAGCGTCTCAAGTACCTTATGTGCTTTTTTTACCTGGTTGCATCCGAGCGACTTACTTTGATTTGTTGTACTCAAACTCGATGTGCAGGCAGTCTTCAATTCCCACCTCCATCTTGATAGACGAGTTCAGCTCGGGGTAGGTGCTGAGAGTGTGAACAACAATGTCCATTTCCTTGGTTATGTCATTCAGTCTCCGGCTAATAGTTGCCCGAAGAAAATACCTGGAAAGGAAATGGCACACAGGACTGTTTGAAGAACTCTGGGTATGTTGGATGAAAGCCATCCTCATCTTTTCGAAGCTTGATTTTCAGTCTGCATCTTTACTTACTAATCAAGGCTTAAAAAACCCAATATTGTGTCAGATATTTTATTTATATCCTAGAGCAGCTTCCATAATAGTACCTTGAAGAAGCCCAATAAATTGACTTTTAAGTTGCAAGCTGAACTAAAATACGTCTTTTGGAATATAGACTGGCTAGAGGAAATTACAGAAAGGCTTCCGGAATAAAAATGGAATGAAAGGGGCCACATTTATTTAAAAAGGAAAAAAAAACTATAAATGTTTAACTTCTTCAGAATTTGTTTTTTTCAAGTAGAATTCACTGTCAGGCTAAACGTATGCATCCATTGCAAGGAACAAAAATGCATTTCATTCACAACTTTCCACATCAATTAAAACTCAATTTAAACTTTCATGAGATGTACTCTTCTGCATTTAAAATACGACCCATTAAATATGAAGTTACTTGTCACCATTTGAAAGGACCCCTATGGTTTTAAGTCTCAGCATATTTCATAAACTGACACTGCAGTGAGACACTAACACAGCTGTCTAGATGTGTCCAATAAGATGTGTTTAATAAGGTTTATGCCTTTGCTTGTGGTATAGTAGATTTCACCGTTGTTTATGTGGACTGGTGGAAAGCCAGAAGATTTCCGCAGGAAAAATCCTACAGCCCTTTTATGCAACAAATGAAAAAAAATCTCACACTTTAAAACACAGTATTACAACACTTTAGTGAACACGAATAAGCAGTTTAGTATAACAGTAATTTAGGAAGGTAGATATGGTGTTCATCTTCAGATGCAGCACACGCCTACACAAACAAAGGCAAGTCTCATCTGAATAAGAAAAGGCAGACAAAAACATCGAACATTTTCTTTATGTAAAAATAAATTATTCTGAAAAGGAAGATATATACAGTACGTGGAAGAATATGCAAAAGCTATTGCAGAAAATACAGAAAATAATGCCAAAAACATCAGAAAAGAACGTGATTTCACTTTGAATGAAGAAAGTTCGCTTGACTCCCACTTACATGCTCAAAGCAAAGACTAATCCATGCGTTAAAACGCCACCCAGCAACTGAAGAGAGTTGGAAAGGTCACCAGTATTCATCCTAGGTATCATTTAATTCTGGGCAAAACGGATATGTAATCATTACTGGTGCCCCTATTGCTTTCCCATTACAATGAACCTGATTTACCCTTGATTGCAATAGATTGAATAGCTTTGAAACAAGATCAAGGTCCACATGGGTTGTGTGCAAGTCAGGCAAACGCTGGACAAGAACTAATCAAGTAAAATTCCAAGGTGCTTGATTTATTCACACTTCAGCAGAGGGTGAATTACTTGCTAAGTTTCCGACAGATGCAGCGAAATGAGTTAAAATCCCAGGGCAAAGTAAAAAAAAAAAGCGTCTTCACAATACAGCAAAAGTATAAGTGCATTAGCTGTATTGATTTACTTACGAGGACATTAGTGACATCAGTAGCCAGCAGGGAAGTATTAATTCCGTACCATTCAAGCAGAATGCACACTGATGATACAGAAGCAAACCTGTGGTCTGCCGTTGCCACAACCAACATGTGCATCAAAATAATGAACATAGAGGGAACTGTTTCCCAAAAATGATCATTCTACAGTAGCCTAGCTTCCAAAACAGACAAAAGGATACTTCTGAGAAAGAAAAGAGTTCGCAGTAATGGACTTGGATAAAGGAAGGCTCAAGGAGATGTTTCCCAAAATAATTGCACATCAGATTGCAGGTCAGAAAACAATGTTTTTTATTTCCATTACTCAACAATCCCCCCTAAACAACATCTAAAAAATGCAGTTTTAAATGATGCTGGCAGCTTCTGTGCTCTCCACTTACCGCAACTTGACATTCTGGCCTGTGTAGGACTCGTACGGTTTCTCCACATGTGTGAACTCAAAGTCAAAAGTCTGGGACTGTGTTAGTTCCCCCGGCCTCGCCAAGTCCTTCACCAGAGAGACGAACTCGTGGTGGTTTCCCCGGTCATAGTACAGCTCTGTGCAGAAAGAAACATTGCTTTTTAATGCCATGAATATAAGATCAATAAGTTTGACATAGGACGTTAGCCACTTGTTAAAAAGAGTTGCCAAAGGACCATAAGGGATAAGCAATCAAATGCTGTGCAGAAATGAAAAGGGCTAGCATTCCCCCCACAGCTTGATAAGCCCCGAATTGTCCTAATACAGTGAAGTTCATGTTTACTTCACCGTTGTCAATGGTCACTGTCTGGAGAATCGCATGTTGAACGACCCACTGCAACAGAAAAATAAAACGATTTGGTAGTGAAAACTTGCTTTGCTTAAAAAATTGTATGTTCGTTTCATATGGTTTGGTTTATTCCATATCTGCTTTCTGTGTGGGGAAATTCCCTTTGGAATGTAAACTGGCATTATATATAGAGAGAAATTTGCAATAAAAAAATGATTTATGGCTAAATGCTTTTTGAAAACTAAACTTTTTACGAGTGGAAGTTTACCTGCTCTTTTAAACACAACAGGCCGGTATACTAAGGAATTAGTATGAAAAAAGTCCTTCTCCAAAAAACTGGATTGATGCAAAGATTCGATTCTAGCAGGCATGCGTTCAGATGATGGGGGCAGCGGTGTGAAACGGGCTGGGCTCTGGACTGATGAGAGGAGGGCTGTGGGTACAGCTCCAGTACCCTAGGTAACCAAGATGTTACTGTGATCCCTGCCGAGTCATTCTGGACTACCCCGTTTAATGAACAGCACACCAGTGCCCACCAGCACAAAAATAAAACAAACACCGCCCGAGTGGAAATCGAAAGGCTCGTGAAAAAAGCAGAAGTTACCACGGTTCCAACCGCTTCTGTGGACGCCGGAGAGAATACAGTGCCTGCTGATTGGCAGGCTGTAAAGAAACCAGTCTCTGTAAAAGAACAAGTCTGTCTGCACCTTCAGAGGCACAAGCAGGAGCCTGCGGTCAGCAGAATATGACCAGACGCAAGGCAGATAGCTCTGATGAAAAAAGTGCTTTTGGCTGGGTATGAATCAGTAGTGGGAACAGAAGGACTAATATGTGTCACGCCTTAGATCTGAGAAGTTGTTAAGAGTGAATCTCTCTGGTCCCAATAGGAAATTTATTATCTTTCTCTTACAGTGAAAATAGTCTACAGAGAGTCAGGTGATGGGATTGGGCACTCCAAATAGCTTTAAGCCTCAAACAGCTTCAAATAGTCTACATAACTGAAGGCTTGCTTTGGAGTGGGCTTTAGACATAGAACTGATCCTTTCTGGAAATGATTAAACTTTAAACTGCTGATGGAATGGTTTATTTTCTGTGATAAGTTGTATCTAGCATTCTGTATGGCTAAACTGTGTGGCATTCAACTGCTAGAAAAACGGGCATACAGTATGTGGTATATCTCACTTTTAAATCTTAATCTCTGCAGAGCGCAAAAATAAAATAAACAGTTGTGCTGTTGGCTGTTTCAGAACATCATTTACAGGATTTAATTCTCATTCTGCCTTCATGCAAAAATTATATTGGTCTTGTTTCAAAGGTAAAATAATCCAGTGTTTGTCAATCAGGTAAATTACAGCTACAGCACAAACCACTTGAAATGCACTATTTTGGATCTCACCCAAGACTCTTTTCACTTTTAGCAAAACATTAAAAACAAATACATCTTTGACATACTTGAAAATACTGCTACCTGTGTGCACAGTGTGTGTACAGAACATTTCACACAGACTGGTACCTTGTCACAGTTCTGAAACCAAGACAATACAGTACCTATTCGTTTTCTGCAGGCTAATTTGTAAAATAGACATAGGTTTGCCTCAATATTCGTTTATCTGTTGCTCATTGAACCTGTGACCTTTCACATATTGTTCACTGAACATTTAAGTGTGTATTCTGCTTCGTCTCTGCTAACGTAATTATGCATCTCTGTAGGAAACCATATCAGATGTGTGCAGACAATATCTAAATAATATTTTAGGTCCAAAAAAATGGAGGTGGTATCTGATACACCCATGTACACACAAGGTGTGTAGGGAAGCTTTTGTCTGTCGCTGAAAGTGACACCAGGAAGAAACAGCAAGAACAACAAGATGTTATTAACTTTTATGTGGATCTTTTATTCATAAAATTTCACTTTGGAACAGATACCACGGTGCCGTCACCAAATCAGCACTCCCTTAGGGGGTACAGTAGGTATCAGCTCTTTTCTGACATGTTGGGCCATCACCAACATGGTATTATGTTCTTGTTTTTTCCCCATATGGTAAATATTAACAAACCCATTTTATTAAGATGGCCCAGTGAATAAATTAAAAAAGGGCATAGGGGAAGTTATCCTCTAAGCACGTCAGTCGTCAACATTCAAACAACTTGCAAACATGGTTCCTTTTTATCATAGGTTTAAAGAATTGCAGGAGGTTAGAAATATATATATATATGCATATTCATAAATGCAATTCGTCTGCTCTTCACTTGAGTTATGAGAGGGAATGAACCCAGTATGGAACCGGTTAAGCCTCCGGTTTCAGACCAACAAGTGGAACCCACAGAAGAGGAACTCCGAGAGAAACCGGTTCAACGAAGCAGAAACGTGCAATGCCTTCGCTTAAAGAAAAAATACAGATGACATTTTCCGCGCATGCTGCAAATGCTGAGGACAGGCTCACCATTTCTGCCGAGTCTTGTTAACTAAATTATGATCGCAGTTTTTTTTTTCATGTTTCTTTTTAAAATCGGTGATTTTAAATGGTTTCATTTTCATTACACTCGTCAACTAAACCAGATTATCTGTTCCCAGGCGACGCTCGATATCATTTTACGCTGCGTTTCTGTATCGCATTGCCTTTTTTTTCAGGCAGTGTAATGTTTGCATGGCATTTTCTTTAAGCAGGTTCAACGTGAAACAATCGCGAAGTTTATGCAATATTCAATCCCGATCTAGCGATGGTGCATGTTAGAAACACTTCGGTCCAACACCCTTAATAAACCGGCTTAGAAAACCACAGCTGCATGCTACCTGCCACTTTTTAAGAAAGTAAAAAGGGACAAATCGTACATACATAAGGCAGTCGAGGGCTCCTTCATTGCACTGTAAACAAGTAAAAAGCAATACAGATCGCACGGCGCTTTTCTTTTTATTATTTTACGTGGACGATCGTGGCGGCACTGTCTTTTCCGACAGGGCCTGCACGCAGGACAGCCACTTACCGATCTGCCCAATAAATTCAATCTTGATGCCCTGGTGCTCCAGCCTCTTCCCCGGGTGTTTCAGGGTAACGTTGACTTTGCCGGAAACCGTCTCTCCATCGTAGAAGAGAAAATACTTGTCCTTCTTCCCGTCCTCCGTCTTGTGCTCAACTTTCTTCCTCGTCTCGGCATCATTCAGGACGATGTCAATTTCTGCACTTTGACCGAAACTAAAGAAGCTCATCACTGCAGCCTTTTCCTTTGCTTTATTGTCTCTATTTTATTTTTGATTTTTGCTACCCCCCCCCTGTCTTTATGATGACCCAGTTCAATCTCGCATGGAGCACCTTTCCCCTTTGTGACCCCTTGGGGAGGGGGGGTTATGGTCTGATTTTTTTTTCTTTGCCCGCCCGTGTGCTGCGCCTCCTTGAATTTTGAATTGATGAGGCTAGTGGTGGGCTGGAGGGCTCCGGTGTGGCTCTGCGGTGGCTGTCAGACTGGAGCAGCGTCCAAAGGTAGCGATTCCGCACTGCTTCCCCCTTCACCGCGCAGGCGCACACGTCCGCCATGGCGGGTCTTGGGAACGGTGCAGTGTGGGAGCTCGTTGTAGTTTCCACTGTAAGGCGAGAAACAGAAACTGTTAAAGCGCCGAAAGTCTCTGGTCTCTCCTTACTTATTGCTTTATGAGCTGACGTTCTGTTTTTTTCCTCTCTCTCTCTCTCTCTCTCCCCTATGTCATTAAGTGGGATTTGTTCCGAGTCTCTGCCTTGCTTTGACCTGGGCGAGCAGGTAAAAGGGCCTGCTTTGCCGTTCACACTGTCACCTGCCATGAAGGAACACGCAGGCCTGCGGGGGGAATTATATTAAAAAACAATCTATCAAACAAATCACACACAAAAGTTAGCACGGACAGCCCCCCGCTTATGATCACTTCCAGTTCACTGGAGAGCGACGTGAAACTGCGTGGGCATGTCCGCCATGTTGGCTCAAAAGCCGCCTGTCATTTCTGCCGATATTTAGCCGGACGGTTTGAGCCGGAATGGAGTCCGTTTCATACACGTCTGATTTAAAGTCAAGTTTTGAAAAGTTAACCATGAATCCAAAGTAACAATAAAAATAGATGGGAGGCAGAAAAGAAATTTATCAGAACAATATTAAAGTGCAGTGGGTGTGTTCATACGTAATAAAAAAAACCGAACCGCGCATGCGTTCTACTGTTTGTTTTGGCGCGTGGATTCAATTTTGACGTTGTCCGGGAAACATGGATCTGCTGGACTCTTTGCAATTACTGAGAATTAAAGAAATTGCCAGTGGTATGTTTACTTTTTTGTTTGTTTTTTTTTTTACATGCATTTAACATGATCAAGTTAGTAGCGTGATGAACTCGTGCTGAAAAAACAAACGAATATCTTCGGTTGCGTACGCCTGTGATGTCAATGTGAACTTCAGTTAAGTGTAATAATCTCTCTCGGATAAAATCAGCCGATTGCGTTAAGTGATACGTAGATCGTTGAAAACGTTAGTATTCACACAGGTATTTGCAAGAAGCTCCAATCTCGCCAATCGTGCTAAAACAAAGGTTATCTTTGAAACTTCGTTGTGGTCCAGGATGCTTGACTTAATACAATGTCATAACAGATTTGATTGGAAAACTGCTTTCACCCCATGAGAGAGGCAGACAGGAGCTCCTTGCTGCGTTTTTGCTGAATCGTGGATATATGTACCGTATGCGCTCAAAGACAGTTGCCTTATCTTGAAGTATATATATATATAGTTTTCATCAGGTTAATCCTTTTTATTTATTCTTTAACGCAGAATGGGTCGATACTGTGTGGGAATCGGATTTCACTGAAACAGATCCGTTGGATGCTCGCATTGAGGGAGAAGTAGCTGAATATGGACCGGACGCATTCCGAAATGTTTATAAGTGCCTGCTGCCCTTTGCTACAGAACACAAAGAAGTTACGGAAGTAAGTGCGATTGTAGTGTTTCACAAGGAACCAAGACCAAGGTGTTTCTTGTTACTGTACATGTAGGTTTACTAGTGCTTTCTTTCGGAAAAAAAATATTAATAAAATGTATGATCGCTGTTACTACCACGAACATGTTCTGAGTATATCGCAGTTCATGTCAAAATGATATTATATAATGTCAAGCGCTCTTCACAAAGTGAAAAAGACATGTTTTAAAAATAATATCAATATCAAGCACCCAGAACATTGCAGTGACAGACATTTAACAGTACAAAAGCAGCAAAATCCAATAGCACCCTGCTTGGAAGTGAAGTCTTAATTTAGACATGAAAATAATAAAGAAGTATTAAAGAAGGTCAAGTAGGGAGGTGCGACAGCATGTGTAGGCTGCAAAGGAACAAGTCAAGTTTCATTCCATGCTGAAAGGAAAACAAAAAAGAGACAGAAAAGTTCATAAATCTGGGTATCATCATTAGGCAAGTGAAAAGAAACTCTGTGACACTGCAGATTTGTCATATGAAGGCAGCATGCGCATCCTAAAGATTTCACTGGTCAGGTATAGAGCTCAAGAGACTCCAACCTCTTGACATCTTGATATAGACGTATTTACCTCTTCCACTGTCACAGGTTCTAAAATCGCTCTAAGCAGAAAGGTATGATATCAGCCAAGGCAAAACGACACCAGAAAGCCCAATGGCAGATTTCAGTATATTGTGAAAAACACAATATACACAATTCTGAAAAAGTGATGAATTATATTATTAAAATGTGCTAAAAAGTGCTGCAAATGGAGATCCGCACAGTTTGCTTTATTTTTGAAACAGTGTTCCTTATGCTTTGTCTGTTTTGTTTTTCATAGCCCTTTGTACTGTATAACACTGCACATATTATGCGATGGAAGGTGTTAAGGGTATTAACCTTAGGATTTCCATTAAGTGTTAACTCTTCATTGCTAGGTATATACTTTTACAAGTATAAGATTTTCACAGGGGCATGGTGGTTCTGGGAACGCTGGCCCCGGTGTGAACGTGTGCGTGCGTGTGTCTGTGTGTGCCCTGTGGTGGGCTGGCGTCCCAGCCAGGCTGTGCCCGGCCTGTCGCCCTTTGCTCGCCAGGATGGGCACCAGCTCCTCCTCATCACTGATTTGGATGAAGCAGTTAGAAAATGCATGTATGGAAGATTTTTATCCCAGTACCCTCTCTGGTATTGCTAGTTAAATATGGAATTGTAGTCTTACAATTCCAGAGTGTATTCCATAAGGTTTTGGAATATTTTTCCCAACCATGTCCCATCCGGTTCTTGTTAGATAACTTTCAGTAGAGCCCATGAGGATGCCTGGTGCAAGACCGAAGTGCTCGGCCCACCAACTTGAACTTGAAGTTTATTGCCATATGTAACCAGTACCTGTACTGGTACAATGGAATTCTTACTTGCAGAAAGTCTCTCGATTGTTAAAACAAGTGTAAAAACACAAAGTGCAGACAGTGCATCAAGACAGTAGACACACAAACAGTAGACAATGTACAAGTAAAAAGTAAACAGTTTGGATGCAAACAATGCAGACGTGTAAACAATGACTGGAGTTGTGCAATAAATAAGAAATCATAATGAGCTAGAGGGTGTAGGTGTGGTCTGAGGGACGTGGCTAAATGTGTTCGCCGATCGCGCTGCTTGTGGGTAGAAGCTATTGAGGAATCTGGTGGTACAGTTAGTGTCCGTATGCTCTTGTATCTCTTGCCTGAGGGCAGTGGGGTGAAGAGCTCATGCCCAGGGTGGTGACTGTCCTCTGTGATGGCTAGAAGTCTACCACGGTAGCGGTCTACCACGGTAGCGGTCCTCATAGAGCTGTTTAATCTCGGTGAGACCACAGCCGATGATCTTCTAGGCCATATTGACCATTCCCTGCAGTAGGTTGCTCTGGCTGGGGAAGATGATCGAAGCCTACGTCACGCGCTGATCTCACCTGAGCCGTGCGAGTCCTAGCACTGGCGTGCGGCTGGTAGCTGTGTAATATTTTGGCCACCGAGTGACAATAACGTTTCAAAGTCTCTGGTGACGGGTATTCACCACGAAAATGCATGATGCGTTTTAGCCGCGTTCTCTTACTAACGTGGAGTGTTTGTGATTGACAGAGTGTTTGGACTCTTTTTGCTGAAAATGGGGTCCCTGCCAATGCGCTGGTGGCACTGCTGTCCCACTTCGTCCAGGTGGCTCAGGGTCGGAGTGCCAGCGTCCCCCAGAGGGAATGTGCCCTGCAGGCAGCTGCCCTCTACTTCCTCCTCTTGGAAATCCCAGGCAAGGCCATTTCCTGTTTCATTGACTACAGCTGTACTCCCTTCACCACTATCACCGCTATCGTCACCGAAAATGTTTGAGGATATTATTGTTATATTCTCATATTATTAAACATAAGTGTTTATTATTAAGTAACTGTCACTTAGACAATAATACATACTGTTATGTTCAATAATAAGCTCTGTTTGTTATAATGTTATAACACCCCTTTAGTAGAACGTTAATAAACATTGGCTACTGCCACACGTTTATTTCTGACTGACTGCAGTAAATGCCCTGATGAGGCTTTTAATATCTGGGATTCGATCAGATGAGTTTTTTAAACAACAAGTTTGTGACTGTGAAGATCACTTTGTGTTCTGTGCAGTGGTAATGAAGTTTCTTTCAGTGTGCCTTACAATGATTGATGGGCTGTTGAAAGAATGCTATTTCCAAGCTGTGCGTGCCTGCATTACACCTGCCAGGGCAACATTTAATGATGCTTCTGCTTTATCCAACAATGAAGGTAGTGTAGCCAACAAGCTTTTCCACGCCGTGCTGTTTGACAAGTGTCTGGACACTGTAAAGAAGAGCTGGCCTCAAGCCTTGGATTCAGGGAGGAAACGCAAGAAGGATACTGCCAAGGGCTCCCAGGGGGATCTCAAGGGCAGGAAAAGGCCCAAACCCCCAAGGAGTGAAGAAGCAGAGGTACTGGAGCACTTCCAAATCTGAACACTGAAGCAGGAACTCCGAAAGCTGTGGAATGCCTTTAGCATGGATTTTGGGGCACTCTCATCTAATGGTTTCTTTGAAGAGATGTTTCATTTAAAGTGTATTACACACATTATTTTCTTCTTTTCTTCTAAATTGAAATCAATTGGCGCTCGTTTGACCTTTGTTCTGCATTTTGAAACTTTTCTGTTTTCCATTTGTCAACATGCAACATGTAGTGCACCCTTTAAAGTGCAGTATTATACATACTGTGTAATTCAGGGAAACTGTTTTGTTCTCTTTAGACCAAATGTGGCACCTTCAGCAGAACTGTGCTGGAGCTGCAAGAGCTGTTTAATAGATGAGAGGAATTGATGTTTAAAACATGATGAATTTGAAGTATTTTTTCATGTTTGGGTGATTTCCTTCTCCAAAGATGGAGGATGAGCTTGAAGAGGAAGAGGAAGAGGAAGAGGAGGTCTACATGTCTGGAAATGACCTCTTGCGAATTCGAGAGAGTGTCTTCTGCCTAGTGAAAAACTTCTTCAGGCTGCTGGAAAAATTCCCTCTGAAAGATAAGCCGCAGAGTGTTCAGCACTGCATGCAGGTAATCAGAGAAACTCTGACATGTGCCATCCTTTGTATGTGGCACTCTTTGCAATGTAACGTTTTTTTCTTTTTTTACTGAATATACAATATATCATTTCATAAATTCAGAATACATATAATGCCTGAAAAAATTGTATTTTTAAAGCAGAATGGTTTTTAAATTGTTTTAGTTTTGTTTAACGTACTCAAAAGCAGGTGGGCGATGCAAACTGGATAAGCTGAATGAACTGAATGAATAAGCATTGCGAATTACCTGATCAGATGTTATTGTTTTGTTTGATCTTTTCAGATTTTTGTCGATCTGACCGGTTTTGAACCAGTGATTGGAGAGGTGATGTTTTCAGAAACACCGTAAGTGTGAAGAACTGTTCAGTAATTGGCAGCTCTTAACCAAATGTGTTTTGGAACAGCACCTGTTACAACTTTTTTCTTATTTTGTTCTGTCTCTTCCTGAGGATGGGTTGATCCAAAAGGCCGTGTTGGTCTCGAAGGGTCCATTTTCATGCTTTTAAAACTTGAGAGTATCAATTAACAGTGAAGAAAGATGGAGTACAGATTGTAGATGTTCTCTGGAATAGTGTATTAACATATCGTTTTTTAGGGATGTTCACAAGATGAAAACCCTCCCTGAACTGGCCTATCATGGACTGAGGCTGCTCTATTCTCCATCACATGGGGACCGAATCCAGGTAAATAAACACCAGAACTGCACAGAGTGTTTTGTTTGAACAGTATCGATAACCTACTTGAGTAGGAATGTGAGTAACATAATGCTGCAGAAACATTGTGGGTCTTTTTTTGGTTAGTCTCTCATTTTGATGAAACACCCTTGTTTACTCAGTTTCTCAGAAGGCAGTATCCTGTATCAGTGTATTTAGCTGATTGTGTTTGTCTTCTTCCTTTGCTTGTCTAAGTAGATATGAATGTTATGTGCATGTATCAAGACTGAAAATGCTCCCAGGAAATCTTGTTTACAGACATTTGTAGACAATGTTGTGTTTTAAGTTCTTTTTCCATTGGTAGAAGTACATTTTCCATGTGCTGTTCTGTGCTAATGGAGTGTCACTGCCTCTGCTGAAAGAAGAATATGTTTTGTTTTTATCAAGTGGGTGATCAGTTCTTTGCTGGGCACTATGCATTTCACAGAGAGATGTAAAGTACTGGTTTCCTCTCATTTGTAACCTCATGTTCTTAATTAGCTTTAAACAATCAAGATGACCATTATGTTGACAGTGTGGGAATCCTTTTTTCCCTTATTCGTTTATTCCTTTTTTAAAAAAAATATATAACATAATGTTAGCATGCCCAAAGGGGTTGGGCAGCCAGTTGACCTTGGACCCCTAGAGTTTTTTTTTCTCCTTCCTAAGGAGTTTTGGGTTCATCTCCTCCGTTATCTTCTGCTCTTCTCTGTTCTCTATTCACAACATGTAGGGTCACTTGCTTTGTTAAGCGCCCTGGGGCGCCCTTGTTGTGAAAGGCTCTATATAAACATGAATTGAATTGAATTGAACAGTGTGCATTGGTTCTCAGTATGTGCAACATGTCTGCCCAGCAATTTCCGTTCCACCCGCTAACCCGACAAATTGTCTTTTCAGACAGTGCGGAGAATCTTCCACAAGCTCCTGTACGTCATTTTAATGATGAGCGTGAGGGAAGGGTCCCGCCCTTCTCTTTTGACTCCGACACAGCATGTAGTTGGAGCGAGGGATTTGGCCATTAGATTTGTGAGGTGAGAAAGAAGGCGGTGTGACCGAGATACATTTCTTCAGTTAGAGAAAAAAACGGTACAAGATTAAATGGCAGACATGCCCAGCTGACTGAAAGAATTCCCTTTTTTTAAAATTTCTTTCTCAAGTCACATTGCCGATGAGCTGAAGGACGCCGTGCTTCCAGTTTTTCGGATCCTTCTCCAGCACATCTGCGCTAAGGTAGAAATGCAGCCGACACTTTAAGAGATAAACCGGAAGTGTCTTTTTCAGTTTAGGAACACCTCTGGAACCTGATTAGTTCATTGTATGATTCATTTCCTCGTCTCTTGTTGGAAGTACCTTCGTGTTTTTGTCAGAAGAAAACCCTCAGCCTCACATTCAAATATATTTTGTGGGTGAGTTGATGAACACTGACTTAGAAGTGCTCTGTTAAAGTGTGGATATTTCCTATTGAAGTTACCTTCTCTGCCAGTGATATTCCTTCTTAGTCATTTGCTGCAGTTTTCAGTTTGTACTCATGATGCCTCCCTATGACCACACGTTATCTTATTTAAATCTACATGCGCTGTCCTGGCTTTGGATTGCAGGTGGCCGATAAGACAGACTATCGCACACACGGAGCTCAGGCTCTGGTAAAACTGCTGGATAAAATGCCTTGTGCAGAATATGCTTCCTTCATCGAGTGGCTGTACAAATACTCCTGCAACAAAAAGGTAAATCAAACTGACTTTTTGGTTGTTCTTGGATTCTCAAATCATACAGCTGTCTGTGTGTGGCTTTAGATGTTTCTCCCTTTATCCTGATTATCTTTTAAAGTGTTGAACTGGACTATGTGCTCTTTAAAAGCAGATTTGGAAACGATGGTATGGAACCGGAGCTCATCATTGTTAGAGACAAATCTGAAAACATTTGAAATGTGAAAGCACAGGCTATTTTAAACTTTTTAACGATCATCCCCTCGGGCCAGTTGTGTTGACACGGTCCTTCATCACGCCCGTACGCGTCTTTGGCAGACCCAGTACCGGGTGTTTGCCCTGGACGTGGCGATGGCTCTGATGGAGCGGCCGGAGCGGGCTCCCTTGAGTTCGCTGCCCCCGGAGCAGGCCGCGTTCCTGCAGCACAAGTTCCTGGTGCAGGTGATGGTCTTCGGCCGCTGCTCGGACAAGGCCCCCACGGTGCGCAGCCGCGCGCTCTCCGGCCTGGCGCAGTGCCTGCAGCTGCAGGTGCCCAGCGCCCTGGAGGGCATCCAGGAGCTGCTCCTGAGCAGTGAGTGAGCGACCGACACCGGCATCTCGAAGGACGCTTCTCGAGCTATTAAAAAGAACTAGAAAGTTCAACCTGGTTTACTCAGTTTCTCAGAAGCCAGTATCCTGTATCAGTGTATTTAGCCGATTGTGTGTGTACACACTTAAACGGCATGGTGTAAGAGAGCTGTTTTGTTCTCCCAGAACACATTTAGGGGTGCATTTGAAATTTGTTTCTTTGGAATGATCCTTTATAGTCAGGATCAATTTGATCTCCTGTCAAAAATGATGCGTTGCTGAAATACGAGGAAGCAGGTTTTTCCTCTTTTTTGGGGGGAATTGCAGCATTTTGTTTCTCTGCTGTTCATTTCAGTTTGATGATTTTAGAGCATCATCAGTGAGTTTTAGGTCAAGTCAACACTCATCCATTTTTATTTTAAAGGAACATGCTAAGTTTGACTTGGCATTTTATATATTTTTTTTATTATAATGACAAGGAAACATAATGTGGTCCCTCCGTTGCAGTCACTAGGTGTATTGGATGTGTTTTAGGTGCTACACGAACAGTCCTTGATGTGAATCAGACAAACAAAGTGGACAGTTCTGAAGGTAATGAAAAAATCTTGATGGAAACATCAAGATGTTGTTGCTTTTCTGTAGGAATCTGTGGAAAATGCAGATTTATATATTCAAAAGTGTCTGAAACCTAATTAGTTCATTAATAAAAGATTAGTTTTATTAATAATTTTATCTTTGCAGTATGTTGTATTCTTTTTTCTTTTTTGTTTTTATGATATTCCTTTGAAATACATGCGTTTTTTAAATTATAGTGCATCATGAACAGTTTCTTATCTTGCCATTGATTAGTAGACTGCTTTCACAGTGGCAGCTAATTTGTGGTATTGTGCAAATACTTTTGCAGGTACCCGTAATATCTCTGAAACAAACACTCATAGGACTGCAGGAATATTCAAGACCATTGAAATCACAAATGAGGAGGACAGAACAATTTTTCATTGTAAGTCATAGCTCCTTCTAAACTGCTTTTTCATAACAATAGGAATCTGAATTATTGGGGCTTTGGAAAAGACCACCAAAAATATATTCTCTATTAATATGTTTGCATGCTACTTAGAAGTAATTAGAATTAAAACACAACTCGAATAATTCTTAACAGAAATAAATGTTTCAGTGCATCTTTGGGGAAGTTATTACTCAACCACTTTGCCAGAAGTACCTTAGTTATACTAGAAGCTTAACAAATAGAATCAACCTGTCCTCTTTCTTCATGCCTTAGAGTTAAAATGTACAGTTTGATTACACTCTGACAGTTTAATGTACAAATGGCTGTTTTTTTACATCCTTTTTTGAATGCAGCGAATGAAACTATTGCCATGCTCAGACAGCGGGCAAGTGATGAAAATACCACTGTGAGAAAATCGTCTCTGCAGGTAAAACAAAATCTAATCATGGGTGATAATATCTCTTTTCTGTGGCTCCTGATTTACTTTACTGCTAAATGCACTGTTCTGGAGTGCAGGTTGAGACCTGTGGTCGGAGCATCACTGCTCGAGTCCCTGGTCAAGTCGCTTGCTGACTGTGCCAGGGATTCAACAGGCAGGACAATTAGACAGGACAGTTTTAACAAAGTCACGTTTTAACTGAAACACTTCAATCAAGGGCATCTTGAAAGTCACCAACTGTAGGAAACTTCTTTAACACTGTGGGACTAAATAATCAATTGGATCAGTAATATAATAGCGTTGAATGGAGATTTCCACTTGTGTTGTATTGCAGTTCTGATGCTTATGATCTCCATTTCTGCCACGTTGAGTGGAAGCTGTATTGTCCTCATTAAGACCTGGATTGTGTATGTATGTGTGCAGGTTTTGATGAATCTTCTAAAATACAAAGTGGTCCCCTGCTCCCCAGAAGATCTATCGATTCTCCAGGATCACTGCCGAGACCCTGCGGTCTCTGTCCGGAAGCAGGCTTTGCAGTGCCTCACCGACCTGCTTACTGTAAGTCCCTGCCAGCAGAGCATCTGTCCCTTCACTGCCCATTTCATCTCTCTCTCTGTTTTTTTGTTTTCCTTTTAGTTTCATGCAACCACTTCCTATTAATGTTGGCATATGAGCTTCTCTGTCTCTTCCCAGGCTCAGCCAGAAAACAATTTAGTGCAGAAGGCCTGGCTGACAGGGGTGGTACCTGTTGTTTTGGACACCGAAAGCTCCATTCAGGAGAAAGCCCTGGACTGCCTAGAGCAAACAATCTTTCGCCACATCAAGAACTACAGCTGCTTCAGTGATGCTGACTGTGGACAAAGACTGGCCTGGGATCTCCTGACACACCTGTGTGGGGAGAGTGAGGATCTTTGGTAGGATGCTGAGCTGTACACATTGGTCCCCTTTTCTCTTTGAAACTTCCTGGGAAAAGGTTTATCTTGGCATCTCAAACGTTGCACATCTCTTTGAGAAACTAAAGCCCAGTCTGTGAAAATGGTAACATAAACATTTATTATAATTTATTAAAATATATACTATAGAACACAGAAAACAATGTTTCTTATTGTGTTTTAAACTGACAAAGCCCGCCAAATGCAAATCTGACGTTTAAAACAATTTTATTTACTTATAAAATGGAAATTAAAATCTACTGCGCTCATTCATTGTGGTTCCGCTTGTCTGTCTGGCTTTTTATTCTCAGTCATTGGAAAATAGCAAGAATATTTGGCAATAACAGCCATTTCAATAACATCATAAAGTATTTGTTCTCATAGTGCATTACAGATTTTATTCAGTAACTGTAGTGATCGGCAATGTATTTTAAATATATGAACCTGTAATCTATTGTATTGTAATTGTAATACATAATAATATTAGGCTGTAATTTTCTAGTGTTGTTAAATTGGCTGCTTTCACAGTGAATGAAAGTGACTTGTAATGTAGTCTTATATAATTCTCATTCTTCCTAATTGTGTTCTGTAAGTAAAACATGCACTGATATTACTCTGGAATATTAAGCAAGTTGCATTGCTTTATTAAGAAGCTCTTAGTTTTGTTAAAGATGACTTAACTGGATATACAGTACCTTTATTGCGATTCACGTTCTTTACAACTCAGATTTATCTTCCTTTTTACCTCCTCCTCTGTTTCTTGCAGTCGTTACATAAACAAAGCCTTCAGTGCCTGGGCCAAGCAAGATAAATTCTCCTCTGCTTTCATTAACAACCTGATCTCTCACACCAACACTGAGCACTCCACCGCAGCCTGGCTGCTGCTCTCCAAGGTGGCTGGATCTGCCACCAAGCTCAACTGTGGCAAGATTTTGGACGCATGGGACAACATTGTAAGGTCAGAAACTTCAGTATAGTGTATTTTGTGACTTTTTGTGTGTATGGATCTTCAATGCAATTTTCGACTTTGACCCTGAACCTTGTTACTTGTGTCAGCTCGTTCTTCTCCGTTTTGTTTTACTATTATGCTCTGCCTCTAATTTGCGATACATTTTATAGTCATTGCAGATGATCTGGAAACTGTCTTGTGCAGTAAGTAGGTTTTCATCATTTTAAATGCTTTATTTTGACAGTAATCAAGCTATGGCCAATTCAACAACTTGCCACGTACTGCGTGTAATCGGACACATTGCTAAACATCTTAATGAGGATACTAAGGAGAGACTAATTGGTATGTTATTACTCATCTTTTCTTGGGGGGGGGGGTTGGTTATTTATATGAATGAATATTTAAAGGGATATGACTATTATTATTTCACAATGATTTTTATGTGTAATCATGTGATGCCTTGTTTCAGCATATTAAGACTTGATATGGACATCATGTGTATTATTTTTTAAATTGCCCCCCTGTATTTGTTTGAGTTTGTCTTCAAGAATGTAACGTGTTAGAATTGGAATAGTTTTTTTCCCCTGAAAGACAATAGAATAATTATGATGCCGTGCTTTTATATCAGCCACCCTCTCTGCTCCTCCTACATCTTTGTTTTCCTTTTGCAGATGACATTATGAAATGGCTGAAGAGCTTCCTGGCCCCCTTGATGGTGATCAGCGCCTGTGTCAACACTCTGAACAGCCTGGCACAGCGGGAGTCTGTGGTCGACACGCAGGTAGGTGCCCCATTTGGGTCACCTGGAGACTCAGAATGAAACCACAGAGAGGAGCTGTAGTTCATTGTTTTGTTTGCTGACAGCTGAAAGAGCACCAGAACAGACCCTGACTATTTTCTGGCTATTTGTTCGATCACGACTGGTACGGGCCGCCCAAGTCCTTGAAGGCCACAGGATTCTCTTGTTTTCCTTGCCTATTGAAATAATTTAATTTATTATTACTATAATATGAACTTTTTAAAGGCTTACAGTTGCCAGGTGTAAAGAGTCTGAACATCCTGCAGGACTCTTATATTAATCCAAATGAGAAAATATTAAATAATTTGAGAAACTCCAGATATGATCAAATTTTCTAGATAGCTGACAAAAGTAGAACCGTCTCCTATAATTGTTAATGGAATAGATGGCATTAGGTGTTAGTATCTAAGGCATTGACTCGCCTTTGAAAATGATCAAATGTTGAGTACTGCCTTGCTTTCTCTGCCCAGAGAGTTTTGAATCAGTACTGTGGAGAGGTGGTCTCCCTCTGTGATGCCTATCTATCAAAAATTATCCTGAGTGAAAGAGATCAAGATATGGATGAAGACCGGATGGTAAGTTTTGATCAGTATCTCAAGCTTTTTTTTCATGCATTTTATCAGTAATTTCATACTTATATAACCATCGAACTTAGAATAGATGCTTTCCGAATGTAATTCGATGTTTAATTTTCAAATGAACAAAATATGTAGTATCTATTTCTAACCTTCCTGTAGGTGAAGTATGTCTTCACTCTTGGGGAAGCTGCTCTGCGGTGTCCTGCCAAAATAGAGAAGAGAATCTTTCTCCTTGTTCAGTCCATTCTGGCGACTAATGTTAGTCTTGATACAGGTCAGTGAAATAATGTGTATATCGTATATTTGTAATTAATTTATAACTTGTATTTCCAGACTAATTATAACTCCACAGAATACTATTCTCCAATCATTGAGATCCTGGCAGCAAAAATGCACATGATGATCCAAAGACATCCTCATTAACATTTTTTTTATCTCGTGTTCTTAGTGGTTGCAGTGTGGTTTTCCAAGTTATATTTTGTTTAGGTGTTGTTTCCATATTATATATTATTTAACTGAAGCAGTTTACTTTTAAAATAATGGCATTTTCAGTCAAATAACATAGCTTAGAATGAGCACCAGCTTTTGACTGCAAGTTTGGTCAGCATTGTAAACTTGAGACTTTCAGATTTCAAAATTCCTTTTTCATTTCAGTGCCGATAAACATCATTCTCAGATTTAGGTTAGTGATCACTTCAGGTCTGGGACTGCAAACTCTGGTTTCTAGAAATCAAATCTGTAAAACTGATCTTCCAAAAAGATGAGGCGTTTCAGCAATTCTGTAGTCAGAAGAAGCCGACGAAATTTGAGAAAACTAACGTACACAGAAAATGGAAGGCCTAGCAAATTTACAGTGTGCGATTTTGCCTGAAGAAATCTCTGATGCATTTTGTGCACAACACACAACATTTGTTTTATTCAGCAGAGGGGAGTGGGGAGCTACCTGCATCACAGCCACTGTCCCAGTTCAAGGCCTCTGCCATGCCTACCGCAGTCCGCGCTCATGCCTTCATCACTCTGGGTAAGGCACTGCTGAATGGGCTTCACCGAGGAGCTGTTGTGTTGTAACACTTGCCAAGTCCAGATGCATGGCTTGTTCTGGATCATAGATGACCTTTAAGATAGGTCACAAGTCATTTTCTTAACCTAAGAAAGATTTCAGGTCTAACAAAATGCTTTAGTAAATCACAAGCACAGCAAAAGTCTGATTGTGGATTTCTCCTGCATTCTGGCTGCCAGGGAAATTGTGTCTGCAGCACGAGGACCTGGCAAAGAAGTGTGTCCCGGCTCTGGCTCGTGAGCTGGAGGTCAGCAAGGAGGTCCCCATTCGCAACAATGTGATCATGGTGATGTGCGACCTCTGTGTGAGGTACACCACCATGGTGGACCGCTACATCCCCAAAATTGCCGCCTGCCTGAAAGACAGGGAGCCCCTCATCCGGAAGCAAACCCTGATCATGTTGACACACCTGCTTCAGGTACTGTATCTCCGGCTGTCCTGTGTTGTTCAGTCTGCTGTTCCAGCTGAACACTTTAACTGTGAGACTAGAATACTACTCGGTTTTAATCCCCCCACACACACATCCACCTAAATGTACTCATTCAGTGATAAAGTCAAACCTCTGTTTTGTTTGGAGTGACTGATTTTTTATTTGTTTGGGACAAAGTGCTATGATTTTGTGCCGGCGTAGGAAACCTTATTGTGCACTGCCAGCTCCAGCACCCAGAAAGACTCAATGGGTTTCCGAAACGGAAAAAACATTTTCATGCCAGCTTTTCTTTGCTTTCAGGAGGACTTTGTAAAGTGGAAAGAGTCTCTGTTTTTCCGGTTTGTAGTCGTATATGTCGACCCTGATCCCAGCATTGCCAGGTATGCCTGTGTGTTGTCACTTTTCTATTTCTTATACGTTGAAATACACATCTGCCTGCTCCAAAATGTTTTTTTTTAACCTTTTCACGTTTCAACAATGTTTCACGTCTTTGTTTTCCAGCCTTTGCGAATTCTGTTTAGTTCACCTGCTGCTTAAGAGAAACCCTACAATCTTCTCCCAGAATTTTATAGAGTGTATATTCCATTTCGTTGGCTATGAGAAGCATGACAAGTACAACAAGTTCCCGCAAACAGCACGGTAGGTGTCTGCCCCTGGATTGTTGGTGCGGTCGGCTGTGTTTGTGCCCTCTCAGAGGCACCTTCGTTTAGTTCTCCATGCTACATTTTCACACCTTAGGTCTCAAGTTAAAAGTCTTAACTTCGAATAGCTAGGATGGATGTTCATAACACATAAATGTTACTGTCGAATAAGTATATTTCACAAACTGTGGATTAACACAGCTCGCCTTTCACCCATAGAACCTAGAACTCATTGTTTTTGTTCCCATCTAATCATTTTGTAAATTTCTATGGGAATTGTAGATATTTATAGGTAAATGTTTTGTAAAGCAATTTCATTCATATCTACAGTATACTGTGTATATTGATAAGGCCATGTTTGCTCTTGGTAATCTGAAGTGAAAGGTACTGTACGGTATTCTGAAGATTCAACAACTTGAAAACAATTTGAGATTTTTATAAATTATCTGGATATCTGCGTAGCATGGTCGAAGTGAGAGGTTATACTAAACTTCATGAAAAAAAATATAACTCTGCTTTTCTTAGTTTAGAAGGAATCAGCTTTATTGTATGTTACATTAAGGATGGATTACTGCAATTATCTTTTTGTCAGGCATTTTTGAAAAACTGCTGCAGTATAAACTGAAACTCGAACACCAAGTCTGAAAACAATTGTTTATTCCAGACTGGATGACTATATACAGATCAAATTGGAACTGAGTTTTGCTGATTCACACTATTCATTTAGAGTTTGTTGCTGTGCTTGATGTTTTGTGTGAAGTGTCTTGATATAGTTGCTGTAGGTACACTGGAATTTACTCTTCACTAACTCCTTGCACCTTTGTGGTGTGTATCCTGCAGTGAGAAAGAAGTGTTTTCTTTGAAAGGAGCTCAGAATAAACAGAAGAGGTTGAAGATTTATAAGTTCCTGTTAGACCATTTCACTGATGAGCAGAGGTTCAGCATCACCACCAAAATCAGCCAGAATGTTTTGGGTAAGATCTCTGACACTAGATCTTTCACTCATTCTTCTCATTTAAGAACTTCAGCAGGACAAATTAATAGTGCCCGTTAATTATACTGCACGACAATTTTGGATTGAAAAAAAATACATTTTGTAAAGACTTTGTCTTTCTTGAGATACCTTATTTGTGCACTACGAGCATATTTTATCACTGAGTATTAACATTGAATTATTGTCCTCTGGGCTCCCAAGATCCAGCAAAGAATTTCTGTTTTGTTCTTCTCAAACACTAGACACTGAACAATGCAGACAAGTAAGTTTGTTTTTAAAAGCTTCTAACTAACCAGCAGCTCACCCTTATTGGGCACAAAGCAGGATACATCCTGGACAGGACGCCAGTCCATTGCAGAGCAGACACAGATATGGACACGTACACGTACACACACCTAGGACCAGTTTTCCCAGAAGCCAATTAACCTGCCAGTTTGTCTTTGGCCTGGGGGAGGGAACTGGAGCACTGGGAGGAATCACCAGTAAATCACCCGTAATGGCTACATGGACATACAGTATAGTTGTCATTGTATTCAGCACGCTGCAGTACTTGGACATAATATATTGCATACACCATGGACACATTGCAGCTCTATTCATATTGAGTTTTATTCCATTTCTATTACATTATTATCTATGATTATGTAACCTTAATTTTGTGATTTTTATCCCCCCTCCCATGGTGAGCTTGTAGAAAAGACATTTCATTGCCAGCAACTGCTGCTGCACGCTGTATTGTTGTGCATTTGATAAGTAAACACTCCTGGACCCCGGACCCCGGACCCCAGTGCAGCAAGGCAGCAATCATAGCCACTGTGCCACCCACCCCAGCGATCTTAGTTTGCTTGTTTTCCCTCAGCCGGTTTTGTGGACGGCTTGGTGCCCCTGGACTCCGACGCCTGCGAGCTGCTGTCAGACACCTTTGCTGTGCTCAGCCTGAAGGAGATGAAGCTTTCGGCGCTGAGGAGCCAGCCGGAGGAAGAGGTTCCGGCAGACGATGAGATGGCCATGGCCCACGCTGTAATGCAGGTGGCGCAGAAGAAGCTCATTTCACATGTGAGTGTGTAGCCCGTGGATCTGCTGTCAGGAGACTGAGACCACTCGGCGTGAAACCAGTGACCTGATAGAGAAATGTAGGGGTGGTGGATAAAAATCAGAAAAAAAGACAAGTGAACATAAGAAAGGTTACGCCTGAGAGGAGGCCATTGGGTACTTAGTGTGTAATGGGACCAAGGCTCTTGTCCACTTAGTCAGCCAGCTTCAACAACGTGGCTAGATAGCTTGTTTCATGCGCCCACAACCCTTTAACTAAAAAAAGCACTTTCTGTTCTCAAATATTGAGAACACTTGCAATTGTGTCCTGTAGGTTGTATTGTATTTAGTCCCAGTCCCACTGAGTTGACTGTGTCGGTGCCTCTGAGGATTTTGGACACTTGTATCAGGTCTGCTTAGACCTGACGTTTCTGTTCTGTTCATTTAGCCTGTCTAGGACGAGCCCTTAAGCCCTGGAATTGCTCAGGACTGATTCTGGAGAAGCAATGTGTTCTCTATAACATGGTCACCAAGTTTATAAAGCACACAATATTCTAAAAGAGGCCTTACTTGTACATCATACATTTCATTTTTAACATTGCATCACTTTATGTAATTCTATGTTGTTAACTATATATCCTAACACTGTTCTGTTTTGGTTCACCACTTTGTCAGAGTGAATCAGAAACTACAGTTAAATGTTCATGGATAAATCCACTGCTTTTCATATCATTTTCTTTTTTTGTTGTTTTTGTTATTATCCAGGTCCAAAAGAAGAATTTTATCGAGAATGTTATCCCTATCATCACATCTTTGAAAAATCTGCTAGAGGAAATGCGCATCCCGGTACTGAAAGACCTGATGGCTTACCTGCGAGTAAGAGCTCCTTATCTTTTATGGGACAATTTTTAGAGGTTTAAAAGGGATCCAGAGAGCACTGCCACCTGACACACTGTTGTATACAGGTATAATTGTATACCTGTCACTTATGGGTGATGTAAACGCAGGGAATCATTTTATCACCATTTATAGATTATTTTTTTTATTATTGACAATGTTTTTTCGTATTTTTAACTGTTACTTTTTCTAGTGAGCTTACATGAATGTGTGTAGTTAAATGTGTGTTTCATGTGGGGAGGGGAAAGAGCAGAAATACTTCCATTGTTTTCCTAATTCTCATATTCTCATATATTAAAGATACTTGAGGACGGGAGATAATTTCATCTTGTAGCAACAGTTCAGAATGTCTGCGGGAAATAGAACAGGAAACATTGTTGTCTTTCAGGACTGATTTGTCTCTTGTCCGTAGGAAATGATGCAGGACTACCGCAGCGAGGTCAAGGAGCTGTTTGCGATGGACAAGCAGCTGGCAGCAGAGCTGGAGTACGACATGAAGAAATACGAGGAGCAGATGGAAAGAGAAGGAGAGCTGGAGGAAGCCAGCGATGCTCAGGAAGACCTCAGGGTAGGCGGACGTGGAGTCTTCTCACTCTTCAAGATGCAGAATTCCAGCCAGTGGCAAGAGCATTAGACACCTGAAGTCTGGCTTGGAGAGCTTGACGAAGATTTTGGTTAAGCCTGATATGTGTCACAGTGGGAGATGTCGGGAGAGAATGAGCAAATGTGATGTGTACTACAGCCTTATTATCGATTACATGCGCATCTGCCTGCAAATAAATTCATTACTGTAGGCGGTTATGTTCACTTATTTACCGAAACATAAGACTGAGGAAACAAGCAGAAAAAAAGCATCAACGTGTGGTTTAAAAAATATTGCAGACATTCGTCCAACATGGCAATCTGCTGAGTGTCCACTGCGGTTTATCAGTGCCGGATGTTTCTAAAACTCTTTTAAGCCTGAAAGAGAAAACTCTGCTTTCATCCTGTTCCTCTTTGTGTGTTTTATTCTGCTGTAGCCTTCGCCTCATTTGTCTCCAGCTCCAACAGCTGCCACTGGTGCTCAGCCTGTCCAAGCCCGGGTCTTGCCTCACAATACTGCCGCTGTCACTGCCAGCCCTCAAGCCACCTGTCCTGCAACGCCAGTCTTCATGTCACCCAGGGCTCTGGGAGCAATTACAGGCAGGCCTCGGTCAGTCATGCATCCCTGCATTTTATGTTACCTGGGTACTTTTATAAAGCTTTTTGTATTCTTAAGTGCACAACAGTCTATCGCACGGATCCAGTGCTGTGAATGGAAGACCGCAACTTTTTTTTTTAACTTATGTTTTTTAACTTGTGTTTCTTATTGACATACAAAGGTAACCAGAAAAAAAAAGAGTTGCCAGTCATCTCAAAACCTCAGGTATTACAAATATAGGAAAAAATATTTTGCATCTTTACAGGGGGTATCATATTCCACCTCTCCCAGTATCTCTCAAAAACCTCCTTCTGGAGTCTTAACTGAAAGGTTAATTTTTCCATTTCATAAATCTCAATCCAATTTATGGATTTATCCAATCAAACAATAACAATCCAATTTTCTTCGTTTGGGGGGGTCTCTTTGTAGCCATTTACATGTTATAGCTTTCTTACTTGCTGCCAAGAACACTTTTAGCAAGTATTTATCTCGTCCCACGACCTCATCAGGCAGATTACCCAGATGCACAACTGAAAAGCAATTTCTAAATAATAACAATAAACTTTATTTCATATAGCGCCTTTAAAGGTGGCTTCTCAAATCGCTTTACAGAATAAAACATAATATATCTTGAATCTGAGACCAGAAGACTGCAACTTTGAATGCTCACAGAATACAATTTGTGTATGTGTATTGGTTATATACAGTGTATATGTAAATCAAAGCTGTGCATGGTGTTGCCTTTTTCTTTGTTGCCATTTTTTTTACACTTTTTATTCTGAATTATTACAACAGTGAAGAAATGGAAACATCTTCCTGTAAGAGGGAGGGAAAAAAGGCAGTGACTTGAAACGCTTTTCCCTCCAGGGCGATGTCTCTCAGTACTGCTGCAGTCCTCAACTCTGCCAGGAAAGCTGCCGAAAGTATGAGGGACCAGCGCAGGAAAACCGCGAGCTCGTTGTCCTCTGCCTCTGACGGAGTGAGCACACCCCGTGGCAGGACAGGTACTTGACACACGCCTCAGGGCAACTCAGAAACGCGGGAGGTTAGAAGACGAATCGCCAGGTGCTGTACCTATCAGAGATGCAGTGTGAATAAAGAAGGTGTACGCGTATGAAGATGTTTCGGTGGGGAGCAGCGTCGGCACACACTAGCTGCAAAGAAACAAGTAAACGTAGATTCCACACTGAAACGCAACATTGCCGCTATAGAGCCTTCTTCGGGTCATTTGTCAAATGCCGATTCACACAAATCACAGGGTGTGCTCCGTCTGATACAGCGCTCACGTGCTTTGGGGGGGGTAACCGAGATCACATTACTTTCATGTGTGCACGCTGTCCTTTTGCTGGAGTTTTCAATATTCAGACTAGGACATTTTTTTTTTGAAGGGCGGACAGCAGGTGCGTTTTTTCATGGTTTTCATTCTTCCCTCCACAGCTTCCTTTGAAAACTGTGACCAGCCTCCTGGCAGCAGCAGTTCCGCCTTTGTCAACAGGGCCATCAGTACTCCAGAACGTAAGGCTGGCTGATGCTTCTGCTTATTATTTTGTTTCTTTAAAGAATCTCACCAGCGTGCAGCAAGGTCGCTCGGTATGTAGGTGATTCACAGTACTAAGGTATGCTATAGTCTCACATCAGAAGGAAACTTTCTTATGCTTTTTGTCAGCTTTTGGAATTCATGCAAAAAATGGTGCGGCATTCTTTTGAGAACAGTAGGGCACACTGTGAAGACTGGAAGTTCTCATTGGACCAATTGATTGTGCTTGGAAAAAAAATTTGTAAAGAATAATTGTTTTGTTTAATCTCAGTTTTCTCTTGGTTGCTTTTCAGTGAAGTATGCATGTGTGTGCTTTGTCCCTTTCTTTCAGAGACCATTCATAATGTGACATTTGGGGCAGGAGTCAGTTACATCTCCAGATCCCTCAAGTCCTCTGAAAGTGGTACGTCTTGGTTTTGCAGACATTTCAGGCAGATGCAAGAGATCCGCAAGGAGGGTTTAGAATCTGTACTTCTACCTCCACAAGAAACTCATGAGTGTGGAGAAGAGTAAACCCACTTGTAGAGTATAGCTCTATGCATGTGTCGCTGTTTGCAAGATGGTTCTTATTGAAAACGCCACATCATAAGCATTGTAGTTTGAAATTTTTGCTATACTCAAGGGTTTTAATTGATAAAGTTACAGTTTTAAAAGCTGCAGGTCAGTTGTGACCAGGCAGAACGGGCATACTGAAGTTAACTTCTGGAGTTCCTGGTACCTGCCATGTTTTTGTTTAAAAAATGACAAACAATTACACACTGCAAAAGTGACCTTTGGTACCCAGAGTAAAGAGTACAATTTTCTTTATTCAGATGCTCAGTTTCCGTTTTTGGAACTAAATATAACTTGACTCTCTACTCACACTTTTCCTTTAGCTTGTGTGTCACAATGATCTAGATTTTTTAAGAAAGTCTACAACACCTGTGCTTTGATAGTTTTCAGCTTTTAGCTTACACCAAAATCACTCGCACCATTTCTTTTTTTGAATACTGATCAGTATCTTGTGATCAGCAGCACATGACTTTTGTGCCCTGAGCTCCATGGCTGATGGACTGCTGGTCACTTCAGACATTTAAACCATCTGCACATTGTTGACCCTGGTCGCCAGTGTTGTTAACAAATGGTCCTTTTCTTACAGAGCTGAGCTACTCTCTGGAAAAAGAAAAAGATGTCCTTTGCTTAATGTCTCCAGATAAACAGTAAGTAATATACATTGTACAGTACATGGATTCAAGAAAATCGTCATAAATACTGTATATACATACCTGTGTATAGTATTTGGATAATAATGACGTAAAAAGAATGAACAGTATTGAAAGATGAACGGTAGTGAAATAATAATTATCAGTCTTCCTGAGGCTCCTGTAGTTTCTGTGAAGAAAAAATCACTATATTCCTTATTAAACTAAAGATTGTCATTTGTTTTACTCGTCTTTAAGAGATTCCTATCAGTGCTATTATTTTCTGTCAGACCAGCTCTATGTCTGAGGGTCAATAACAGTTTTAACCAATTAATTATTCTTTAAGTTCTGAACCATTTTGTTACAAATGCTGTTAACAGGAAGCATCATGTCTTATCACACTATGTTCTCTTGCAGAGCTCCTCCACCCAGACAGTGGAAAGTAGATTCTCCTGTTAATCGGAGGAGCATTAGAATCTTGGAGAAGAAAACTCCCTTAAAACCTAAAAATTAGGACTCATTGGGGCTCCACACTCTCTCTGTAGCCCCAGTTTAACGATCCTATTCCGTATTTTCTGTACCGGTTTGTTCTTGTTGAAAAAACCCAACATTTGCAGTTCTTGTTTATATGCATTTAAATTGTTTTAGCATTATAGCCCCTGCAGCATAAGGCTTGCTTTTGATTTTTGAAAGGGGCTGCTAATTACTGTTTTAAAATACTGTGGTTAATGACATCGCCACTACAATATTGGTGGGAATAGGTACAACAAAGACAATGGGATTCAGAACTTCACAAGCATGTGCGGTCAAGTCTAGTTTCTTAAAGCCCTGTTCATCTCTTGATTATGTTGTTATTTATGCATGCTTTTTGGATAATGACGTTTTAAATTTGCTTATAAGCTGTACAAGAATCAAACCTTGTATCTGTATCATAGCTTTATCTGTATGGATGTCTGCGCCGGGAAATATCGCAGTTGTCTTCAATGTATTGCTCTAGCACCAGTTGTACTGTATGAATAAACACTTAATAAATCATATTTAGAAGTGAGAATTTTATTAGTCACAAACCTACAGTTTTTAAGTTTGCACTGTGGGTTTTGTACAAGGGTTTGCAATTACAACCAGACACCTGCTAGACATTTCAGGAATTCTAATGCCAGAGCTGTCCAAATATCCCTTTTATAACATTAAACCGTTTAACCATTACAAAATAAATGATGAATACATCTATGTCATCTGCAACACATCCAGTATTTCCAGCTTACATTATTCGTGTTGTATATCGGCCTTAATAGCATTTAAGTTATAGGTTATTATTCTTCCAGCAGTCATAAAAGTGACTTCTGTGGTTATCTGTTATGTACAGTATTCCTCTATAGTGGTTGGTGTTTCCAGTTAAATCCAATGTCCAGTTTTATCCACTAGAGGGTACCCTTTGCCACAATCTGTTCGTGGGTTGTGAGCTGCCGCACTTTGCGTGGGAAAATGTCTCTCCAGGGTTAACCTGTAATGATGTGGACTCCTTGTGCTAAACTGCTGCTGCTATTGATCCCAGTCCTGCTGCCTTCATAGTTTCTTACACACTGAGATGTGAGAAGGGTGTTTTCAGTAGAAACGCCATGTTGACTAAGTCCAAAGCTGTTCTAATAGACTAAATGCTGACCTGCAAAATTGGAAGGAAACAGCATTGACTTCCTGAAGCGCGGCACCATCCTCTTGCTTTGAAACAAACACAAATCTTAGCTTCGTCTCTTCAACAACATCCTATATTTCCTCCACGTGTGCTGCGACTACAAAAAATGATGACAAAGCATGTATCTGGTTTTGCTGAGACTTTCAGATTTAACGGAAAAAATCATAGCAAGTTCTCATCGCTGAGGCTGGCTGTTACAGTGAATGCGAAAAACAAGGTTGGTTTGCTGTAAATCTGCGCGTTTCTTTTTCCTTCTCACCGCAGCGACATCAAACAACGAAGGAGGATTTGTGATGAGTGATTTGTGATGTGTGTTTTGAGAAGAGAGCCAAACTTCCCAAACAGGAACAGGAAAGGGGCATCCATGGGCATTTTAAACCATCCAAAGATGTTTTAAGTCTTTGATTAAAACTGCACCTTGACAAGAATCCAGGAAAGGCTGCAAGTATATTCAGCAGCTGAAAGCAAATCGTAAGTCCTCCCAGAAAAGCGCTGGGAGCACATATCACAGCTACGACTGGTTTAGCTGGGATGCAGAAGCATCAGAACACAAGAAGGGAAAAACCAATTTCAATTTCAGATATCCGTCACATGAGTATGACAGCAGGTACCAGCCCAACCCAACCGAAGCTAGGAGGTGCTAGCAACAATAAAGATGATGTACGTAAAAGTCAAAATAGCAGTGAAATCATAGTCATAAAAGTCATAATAAGAGCAGGCTTAAATTGTAATTATCAGAATAGTACACTTACTGTATGAAGTGATATGTACCGTTATATGATGAATCAGTCAATGACCAAATAAAATGGCCTTTTTTCCTCTGGTAGATGGTAGGATGAATTTTTATGCATCACATTTTTTTCCTTTCTCTTTCACTTTAAAGCAAGACCATCTAAACTAATTCTCTCCACCATCCTTTCATTACCTCATAAAGCTCTAGTTTTGCATATTTGTATTGAGTGACTAACTGGAAACCACAAAACTACCACATCCAAATACATTTCTTAGGACTGCTGCATCTTAGAATTACTGTATTTGGTGTGAATACAGTAGGTTTGCTTCTGAAAAAGAATAGCTTTTAGGAGTTTTTTGCTTTAGGTATTTCTGATGGCCTGAAATTGCCTTTCACAAAATACTTTGCGGCACAATTTTGCTTTAGGTTCAAAAGCTACCTGGTGGAGCACTTCTTTAGGCCTTGGCAACATAATCTCAGAAGTGTCCCAGATGTTTAGCTGGGTGACCCTCCTCTCAGTCAGCAGCTCAGAGAAATGGAAAAGCTACATCAGAACAAGTCTGGAAAGGTCTTTCAAATTGTTCCATTCAACCTCCTCATTTCTGTTTTTCAGTTCTCATATTGTGTTTGTCATCATTCAGCCCCCATTTCTTATAAACATGCAAGATCCACACTTCCTGACAATACACACAAGACAGAAGACGTGGGCAGTACCAGGGCACTGTATAAAGTACAGAAAGGAAGACATTGAACACATATGCAAATAATGTA